TATACAATGCACGTTGCCGGCACCACGGCGCACCTTGCCTGAACAAAAACAGACAATTAGTCACTCGGACTAACGGCTTAGTAGATTTGATAGGTCACGTGACCTTGCGCGGCAAGGTAAGAGCATCGCGAGCCGCCATCTTGTTTCTCGCGCAAACAAAATGGCCGCTCTTGTAGAATTTAAGTTCGAGCATTATATATTATTGTATAACATATACATTATTTTTTTATTTGGTACAAATTGTTGTTTACTATGTTGATTTTACTTATGTGCTTCGCATTTATAGTGTGATCATGCTTATGTTACAGTGTTATGCATGTATACAAGTGTCTGTGAGTATGCACAATTTGTATATAATTTTTTTCTTTTTTTTATTTCTGAACTAGATGTTTGGTAGAGATTGTCGTATCGCATATGATTTTATTTACTAGTTGGTAGTGTATTTTCTGGTTACATCGGAGTCTCAGTGAAGGGGTTTTTATCCGAATTTTGTTTTTATTTTTAGTTTTTTCTTTCATAATAAATTATATTCTTGATATAATAGACATTAACTTACCAAACTTCTAACACAGTAGTACGTAAGCAGTAAAAATATTAAAATATAAGTTATAGAAAAAAAATCGAATATACATAATCTCCACAGTTACACCAAAATTAAAATAAGAAACTCATTTATTATGAAAACTGAAAAAGTTCTTAATTTTTATTTTACTTTTGTTAATCATTAATTCGGTTGTGTATGTACTTATTTAATAGCTCGGTTTCATAATTTATTTTTGGTTTCTATGTAATAATTTTTATATTGTAAAAAAAATACTTAACCGCCACTACAAAATCCATCTTAATATTAAAAACTCATTTTAATAAAAGTATTTATTTAAAGGATACGGATATTTCATTTATACATCATAAACCTCAGCGTGTCAACGGACTCGATAAAACATCGCAAGTACATACGCGGAGTAGCTCACATACCGGATGGTTTTTTACCTATTTTTCTGCGTAGTAGTAGCTTCTAACACGAATTTGATACCTATTCCTTTTTTACATAGTAACTGCTACTGGATGCCCTCGATTGCCCCGACCCAGCTAGTGTGAATGCCCCCTATATTTAGTACAGTTAGGCACATTTTATGACTAACGAAACTGCTTTTCTAAAACTCCTTAGTAACTCTTTACTCCTCACCTTCTTGTAGAATTGAGATTCTAAAGCCAAATGTGAAGAAAAAAATATTTGTAAATGCAAGAGTACAATCGATCAGAGAAGTGTTTATGACTTTGTTTGGTTTTGGAATGCCACTAGTTTGTTGGTACGATTGGCGGTAAAGCAGTTTTGTTAGCGCAACGCGGGCGGCTGATTGACACGTCCGTGGTGTTGTTTGCAGCAAAAGGCGGACATATTGGCCGGTCGCAGGATATTTGTCAATAATTATTTGGCGGAGCACCGAAGGATCAGCGTGCAATCCGGCGGCAGCTCCCTGCCAGCACTCAGCCCCGTATCGCATCAGAGCATTGAATAATAATTAATTAAAAAGAAAACACATTCCTAACGCCCAAATTAAAAAAAAAAGCAAACGCATACCAATTTAAAACACCAAATTATAACTTTTTGGATTTTTAAATCACCCCAAAATTATCATTGTATAAATATTCACCTAAAATTTATTACAACACAATTAGATCTGAACAAAAATGCTACTGCCATTTAAACAATATTATAAATATATACAAAATATTATATTCTAAAAGTAATCGCTGTGGATTCTTAAAATGTTTAAAATTTAACAAAAAACATTTTTAAAATTTTCTCCTAATATGTAAATGCGGTAGTAGTAAGAATCGATTAATGTTTACTAAAATATTAGATTAAGAGAAGTATTAGATTATTCGCAAAATATATTGAATAGATTTATATGTAACTATGGTGCACCATTATTTAGATGGAATCTATTAAATCTCTAGCGAATCTGTTCGTTTTATTATAACGACATAATATTATGAGGCGGAGATTTTTCTGAAGTATTTATTTTTTAATAAATGGATATTCTCAAAAATTACTTTTTGTAAATACATACTTTTCTTAAAACTCTCATCGTTTTTACTAATAATATATGAAAAAAACTAAACTTAAATAAATTATACTTAAATATGAAAAAGTATATATTATTATTATAAAACTATAAAATTATTAATCCATGTGCCATTTTTATATAAAAAACAAAGTCACATTTGTGCTACTCAAGTGCTTTTATAAACGTTATGACTACGACGATATTTAAATTTGCTTGTTATTAGTTTTTTTTTTAATTTTTTTTATAGATAGGTCCGACAAATGACTCCACCCCACCTGATGTTAAGTGATGTTTTGTTTTTTTTGTATGAGAAGAATGCGTTTTTTAGATTAATTGTGTGTCATGATAACATGATAATGTTTTAATGTTTAGATATATTATTATTAATAGAGTGCTGGATGTGTGTATTTTTATATTTTACGTTTTGTAGTTGGTCCTATATGTGTGTTTAACAACGACTACTTAACAGCATTGCTGCGCTAAAATAATTTAAAGTTTTGATTTTATTTTTAATATGTAACATTTTTTTTTTCATAGAAACGATAATAGCAATATATATCTGTAGTTGCTCGCAAACATCGAATGCCATAATAAAACTTTTAGCAATAAATACGTTTTACTAAAATTTTACGATAAAACACTGGATGCATGCGAGGTTGAAATAAAAACTAAAAAAATGCGATACCTGAATACTGTTCTGTTGACTTTACTCTGGTGTTTTGATAATGGTGAATTACAATAGAAATTGGGTTGATGACACAACGTGAAACTCACTTCATGTTCTCTGAACAAAACTGACAAAGCACTTGTGTCTACAACTGTACATTGGATTCTTTTAGTTCGTCCTAGGTGCTATTTTCCATTAATATTACCAATAGCATTATATAATTCAGTTTTACCATTATTGAAACACATTCTGTCACATAAACACACTTCACACTACTCCTCACTGTCTGGTCTTCCAAACTTTACCCATCTCCTTTTCAGTTTATTTTCTATTATCATAAGGTATCGGATCTCAAGCAAATTTAACTATCCCTCGAATATGTTATCAATGATCTTGTTTACACGTTAAGTATATTACATAGTATAAAAAATAAAAAAACAGATTCCTAAAAAATCGTTAAATGCACATCGTGTAGTGAAATAATTTTAAATCATTGCCTGCTACATGAGTGTTAAAATTTAGATTTATATATAACATATACATTATTAAATATATAATATATTAATTATATATTTAAAATAAAAAACATGTCTTAACATTAGTTGTAAAAAAATATGAAATAAAAACAAATGATTTTTTGGAAAATGTAATAATTGCGCTTATAGTGGTAACCACACGCCTGATAGCGAGTTGAGAGTCACTCGATTTAAACAATAGCTAAGCATGATTTCCTGCTACCAACTTAAACTGATTCTGTCTTAACTCGTCACTTCTAAAGCTTGTCTCTTATTAAACTTTAGTAATAAAGTATCTATACTCCAAAGTAAATTTCATTTCACCCAACTATGCCACGTGCCGGAGATCTTCATTGATAAGGTAACTGGCCCAAGGGAATGTTGTGTCGATGTTGGTCCAAATGTTTGTTGTTGGCTGCCCGTGGCCAACATGGGCCTTGTATGTCGTACGGTCTAGATGGATGTTAGTATAGCTTGGCGCTTCCACGCTCATTATGTTGTAGAACCGTAGGTATCACCTAGCGTTCGTTTGACAATTTTATATCAGTGCACACACAGCGCATAACCTACCTACTGCGTATGCACTGACAGTATATTTTTGTACAAACGCTGTAGCTATAGAAATGGCTATGCTGTTCTATAGGTTGTAAATAGTGCTGCACCAAAATCGAGGGATCAATACACGAGATAGTTTAAGGATATACATTATATATCATTATTTTTGAATATATATCATGTGTGTTAAGTATTGAACTCATGTTATTGCTTGTGTTAATTTAGAATGTAGATTTAGCTAGTTAGAGTTTTATTATCATCGATAGATCTGGTATGTGAGCGACAACGTCGAATACAGTAAATGTGCTTTTATTAGAGAGATTAGCTCGCATGGAGGCTACAACTGAACAGACACACCGTGCCGTTCTTCTTACAATCCACACCAGCCATACAAACACGAGAATCAACTAATTGTAAAAGCTTATTGGAGACCCAACTATAAATGTTTCCTTGGTAAACGTTCAATGTCGAAACAAATGTACTTATGTTTATTTGTTTTAGTTAATTATAAGGTTTTATATTTTCTTTTAGTTCACGATTTTTAAAAGTTAACGGAGCCCTAGATGGAAACTGGATGATAAAAAAAGGATTTATATGTGTAAAAAATATGCCTAGCTATAAGTGCACACCCCATGAATGTGCTTCTTAAGGTACTAGGATGAACCCTGCGTTACTATGTTTCCCTACTCTGTATTTTTATTTTTATCTCCTTCCTTTACAATCTGTTTATCGCTTTCGAGGCACTGCTTCGTCAGTCCTGGAGAACTTTCCGTACCGTCTGATGTTATACACTTTATTTGTGAAATTATTTTCACCTGCTGCTGCAATGTCGAACGCTATTCTGAATTAGTCTTTGTGTAAACTTGATGTTTCGTTCAAATGATTTTCATTTTTAGTCAAACTCACTAAAAATGGACATCACTATTGTTACTCTTAGTTAAAACGTGTTACATTTGATTTTTTTATTTTTTGTTGTCGAATTATTTTTTTGATTTTGTTTTATTTTTTGTTTGTTTATTGTGAATATAAGGATTGCGTTCGACCGAGCACTGCCGATCTGCGTATCTATGTAAACCTGTTTCCGTGGCAGCCTGCCGTGTGTCGGCGCGCCGTCCTCTTCTCGTGCCGTGACTCTTTACTTCATGTTCTCGTTTTTATTTTCTTTTCCATGATACCCATTGCACCCGGAAGGTCATAGGTGGCGAGTTACAAGAACGCTTGATACCGGTGCCCTACAGCAAGACATCTACCGATCAAGCTGTAAGATTTGACACAATATATGCCGGAAGCCTGCTGTTTCACTCACACGTCTCGTCTATTTTTATGTTGACCTTGATTTTTTTGTTTTTTAAACGTTCCACTATTAATACTGTACTATCTACCTACAACTTAGTCCGTTCTTAACTGTTATCCCATTGGCCTGTTCTCTTACGCTGACCTTTTTACTTTTACATTTTCATTTTGACTATAAATGAAACGGAATATTTTAAATGTTTCTTTTTGCATTTATTTGAAATGGTTGTGATTAAAGCGGTGATAAAATGATGTTTAAAATTATTTAGGTCAGTGTTAATTGCATGCGTTTATTTATCATCCATTTTGCATGTACCCTTGCATTACGCATGCGCTGTGTTATTTACAAGAGATATTTTGAATTCATATATTTTATGTTTCATAATTTTTGTGGCTTTTGTTAATCAACTTCATTCGACATTAAATATTTCACATAGTCAATTGTTGAAAAATATATACTAATGTGAAATATGAAGATTTCATAAATTTCAGAGTTCTATTGAAGTTGATATTTTTATTTTATTAAATGTCTGTTTGTCTCTGGGATTCATTGTACGGTTTGCGCATTTTATATAACTTTACATGTTGAAAGGAACATGTAAATTGTTTAACCAATGAATCGCAAAATATGCTTTTTATGATGGCTTATTATAAACCTAAGTAAAGATTAGGTTAATATGAGGTTATGATTATTTTGGCATCATGTATCATAATGGCATCAGAATTTTTCGTATCTATATTTTGCCTCACATAATGCACCCAAATTCAATTCGTGGGGTTACAACTACGATAACATCGACTAGACCCATCAAGCATCTCGAGACGCCAGGGATTCGTACTTATAGTTGTCGCTTTTGGACTCATAAATAAATAATATAATTAGAAGCATTTGACGTAAATGAATAGCTTATATAGTTTTTCACAAATCAATTTTTCTCTATTTTAGGCTAGTGGTTACGCTTAATTCAGTCATGGGTTAGGCCCGGGGTTCGGATCCAAACTCGGGAGGGGAGATTCTATGTTGCTTCGTTCATGTGCATAGTCTGTGTAACATACGGCATAGAGCTTGTCGCGTAGCCACATAGAGGAGGTCAAATGCAGTCACAGACGGTGCATGCTCGACACTCGACTCAGTCTGTATTCAGAGGCGGACACGAGCGATGCGCGGTTTCCCAACTACCCTCACGATTCACTGCATGGCATGAGCTCGCGGCGACTCCGCGGCACGGCCCTACATACATCTGTGACTGGAATTTTGAATTACCTAACGCTTTCTCGCCTCTTTTTTATGGCTCGGTGTGCTTTACTGTTCATAAATAAACTGAGGTGTAACATTGTCCGTCACCGGCGCGCCGGAGCCAGTCGGCCGCGTCGGCGGCGCGCAGCATTCGTGTCGCTCTGACTCACTAATGTTCTCTATTCTCTCCTGTCTCAAAGTATCTTTGCAGTATAAAAGTAATGAATAATCATAACCATAACCATAATTACCATTTTCCTCCTTGATATTCACCGAATCTTTAAACAAATGTTAGCACTAGTGTGTCCCTTGAATTTGCAAAATTGGTCCTTCGAGTAAATCACATATTCCTTTATTTAGTGTCCTAACAGTAGGTTCTACTACGAAAATAGAAATCGCCCTGTCACCGGACACTTTAAACGTAAGCCTTGGTCTGTCAGCCCAATGTCGGTGGGCGTTATTTCTATTTTGGTGGTATCAGTTGTGTTTTGAGCGAGAGCGACACGAGCGCTTCGTGTAGGCGTGTAGTGTGAAGCACGCTGGTGCAGCTAACGTGTGCGCTGCGCAGATCCGCGTGGTGAACGCGTTCCGGCAGGGGCTGGACTCGCGCGGCTCGCTGGCGGACGCGGCGCTGGCGGAGGCGCTCCGCAAGCAGACGGCGCTCAGCAAGCGGTTCTCGCACTCCTCCAGCATCGAGTACGCGGACAACGCGCGCGACACGCTCGCGCCGCACGACATCGACGTGGAGCGACTCTCCAGCCACAGCCACACCGAGACCGCCGTCTAACCGCCCCGGCCTCTGCGCCGCCCCGAGCCCGACCCCGACCCCGCCCCGTGACCCCGCACACATGCAATAATTTAGCGATTTACAGTATTAAGGGCCGCACGGACACACTCGAACCGTTACGCTGCCATCGCTCTGACTATTGATCGATACGATCGTGTATAGAATCATATTTTTGATGTAACGAGGATGATCGAGTTTCGTATTTGATTTCGACGCGACCGGCCGGGGCGCCGCGACCCGCCCGCCCCTGCGCCCGCCCGCCCGCCGCGTCCGAGCATGACTTATATTGTTAACTAGTGTGTTTAATTATTCGATTGTTTTGAAAATATTTTATTATTATACGCGCGTCGTACCGCGCGCGTCTGTTGAACAAATAAAAAAAAATATTGTCTAATTATTAATTTTAGATTTAAGCGCAAGGATGAGCGAATGGGCGTGTGTTTTTTGAAAAAAAAAAGTTTCGCATACCATCGTGTCATCTCTTACACGGAATGAAATGTTTTATATTGCTTTTGTCTTGGACACGTTGTGGGAGCGCCTGGGGAGGAGGCGCGCGCGCGGCTCTCGTCTCATCTTTTGTATAAAGTTGTTTCATTTGTAGCGCAGCATCATCGTTTGTACGTACGCCGAGTGATATTACGGCCGGCGCGGCCTCCCGCCCACGCACACATATTATACTAGAACTAAATTATTGAAGTATTACTTAAGGTGTTTGTTATAAATTTCAATAACTTTTTTTTTGTTTTTACGACCTTTCCCCCTAAATCTAAGTATACATTTAAGTCATATCTCGAAGCGTAGACGCATCAAACTGAAAAGTTTCTATACAAGAACCGTAAAACTGCATTCTTGTGTAAAAACCGAGGGTAGTCCACCTTAAACATCTTCAAAATGTTTAAAACATAGAAATAAACATTTAAATTGTATAGCTGAAGGTATTTATTTGTAATGCTAGTCTCTTATGAAAACAAAATACTAATTATTCAATTATTATAATGTACTTATTGATTATTGATAAATACTTACTTCAAGTTTATTAAACAAGATATAGTCTACGGTGTAACGAATTGATTTCGGAATTTTTTCTCTATGAGCAATAGCGAGCACAGGCGGGCGCGCACCGCCGTGCAGGAGCGTTGGGCGCATGTTGGCGAGCATGCTTGTGTTCGCGCGCGAGCATGTTCGCGAGCACGTTCGCCGCACGGCCGCACGCGATGCGCGCGCGCTTACACCAACATAGGCGACATAGGATCGCAGCAGTGGCATTTTTCAACTTATAACGTAAGACATGTACTTTATCGATTTAGTGACGAGTTGAAACCGCAGTCGCACCAGAGCGGCGCGAACCGCTCGCCGCCCACTTGTTTTTAGTGATAAATTGAATCAAAACGATTTAGCGAATCGGCAATGTTCAATTTTGTATAGAACGTTTCATAGTAGCGGTATTGAAGAGTTGTTACGTTTCATTTGTGAGGCTCGTTCGTAGCGCTCGCCGGCCGGACCACTGGCGCGACAACTATTAAACAAACTATTAAACAATCTTGTAAGTAAAATTAAGTATTAGCTTCGAATCAATAAAGCCTTTTTAAAAAAATTAGTTAAAAAAATGAAACTATTGAAACTTCACATGTTTAAAATAAAAAAATAATAAATTAGTTATGATTTCAGTGAATAGAGGTCATGGTATCGTTTTGTGTATATTATTATATATATCTTTCTTTTTTGTTTCGTTGATATTCGTTACCACGAGTTCCCCAATGAAAGACATAAATTAGGAGTCTATACTGTAATGTAGTGTTGCGTGGAGACGCGCGACCATATACCTAACAATAAATTGTTTTGACACGACAGTCTGCCACTAACCATTTTAGGTGATAAGTCCCATTGTTGTATTTTTCGTCTCACAATAAATGAAATCTATTTTATTGTTTTTAAATGCTGTAGTTTTATTTTTCACAAACCAATCTACGGAGCTCGATAGCGCATTTGGCCTGCGATCGTGAAAGTTCAGCAACCTTCGCAATGTTCGGTCGTTGGATGGGTGACCAAATACATATTATTATCTGGAGCTCCTCCATACTTCGGAAGGTCGTTGGTCTCAGGTGCATTTGCAGTCGTTAGCACCCACCAATCCGCACTGGGCCCTCGTGGTGGGCCACGGCCCAGTCTCCCTATTCCATCCATAGAAAAAAACCTTATCCACAGCAGTGAGGACATTAATAGGCTTATGATGATGACGATGAATGTGGTACGGATATGAGTAATTATGATTAATGTACACACAGAATCAAAACTAGTCATTTTTGGCTTTGTACATGCGATCTACTACGCTGTGCTATATGCGAAATAAGTCTTGCAATTCGCCAGCTGGTAAATTGACACGCACCAATAATAATTCAATGGAATATAACTTTGTGCTACAATTCAACTGTTGCATTCAACAATCACTTGCGTGATTCAATAAGGCTTTGGTCTCCTATAAACGCCGCGTACAGCGCCACGCCCCTCTGCAGCAAAAGGACAAATAACCAATATCCTGGAATAGCAAAATCCCAGATCTACAGATCAGATTTGCATAAACGCAGAAGAACAGACCCACACAGAAAACAAGAATAAAATTGAGTAAGTACTATTCATAAAATTTCGTTTGAAAATATTAAGACGAATCAATTCATATTTGTAACTTTAGCGACGTCAAACAAAACGAAACGAAAAAAACGATATCAAACATTAATTGCAGAAAGGAGATTGCTCAAATTGGCCTAAATGCACAAAAAATATTGACATACACGGTAATTCTTGGCGTAATTTATAATTTAAATAACAGTCATTAGATTTCAACGGACACCTTTGTATAATATATTTACTTTAAAAAGGACTTTTAATTTTACCGGTTTGGAAAACATACGAATAATTTTTAATGGCTATGGGTGTAATAACATTCAGCCAAAGACTGATCGAAGTTGTTTATATAACATAAAAACAAATCTATTTTGTAAAGATCGATAAAATAAATATTTTTTTTTATTACACTGTGGTATTAATATCCACAACTATATTATTATTTTCACTAGATGCAAATGTGCTCAGACAATTATTATAGATGGTAGGCGATATCATAAAGTCTATTGCCATACATTTTTCGCCAAACACCTCCATAAACACATTATAATCTGTATATATGTAAGACTTTAAGGTATCTATCTATGGGCCTAGGTTCCCTGACTATAAATTAATAAATAAATAAAATTATAAGGTGTAAGGATAAGGATACACTAAAAATCTAAAATATGATTATCTTAAAAAACATAACAAAAATAATGAAGCTACTGAATATATGGCTATAGAACCTAAATCTCTTAGCTTTCTTTGGTTAACGAGAGTTTAAAAATTCTCTCTAATCTGTGGCTCATTCACAATCATCACACAGTTTCTGTCACAGAGTACCTACCTTATTATAACCGGAAATGATACCTGATTTTAAAAGTTACTCTTATGCATTAACTTTAAAAACAGGCAACTATCTATAAATCTATATGCTCTATATACCTGAATATAATCCATAATTTCGGTACTTGGTTTGATTTCCCTAGTTTACTATATAACTTATTTGTTTTTTATTATTTTAATATGTTCAGGGTTTATAGAAGTTCTCAGGGGTGTCCGTCAATAATATTCGTTTCTACAGTAATTTATACATAATTTCGAATCTAGGAAACAATTTTTCATGATTATTGGTCTTTAGGCCAAACATGTATGGAAGTTGAGCAATCTCCTTTTGTCATTAAATAAACTCGTGATAACTATATCATTTTTTTATCCATAAGTGTAGTAAGATAAGAACATTTTTGTGGTTTGCTATTGTCGCTTAACTTGAGATCTTGAAAGTGAGCTTCTTCTAAAACGTAAAACTAAACAGAAAGATTTCGCAGGTTTTTTTGTATTAGTCCTACGGTGCCCACCATTCATTGTTTAAAAATCTTCTATAAAACAGCTAAGAAGGTCCTTTCTGATTTTCAGGATCCAATGGTTATAAAAATACTTTTGAAATTTGCTAAATTCTGGTTCTTGGGACCGACGCATGTCACTTAAACAAATATAGGCTTTCGGATGGCAGATTCCGGAACTGGTGGCAATAGAGGTGTTCACAAAGTTATTATTTTGTGACCATCTTCAACTTAAGTTAATCCAATTTTATGACAATTAAAAGTGGACATTTAGATATCTAAAGCAAAGAGGCCACAACTTGATAATAAGGTTCATAAAATATGTATCTTTTTTGACGACGACAGTACATTATCTGTCTTTATGCAAATCTGTCCTGCTGCTCTATGGCGTCCATACACCGACGTCAGCGTATGAAGAGACCACACCACTACATTTCTATGTAAGCATCGAGACGAGACGCGGCGTACGCGGCGTTTATAGGCGACCATAACCTTATAAACAAAGCTTTGACTATATACACGCAAAAAACCGTCTCATGTTCCGGGCAATGTGGACTTCCAATGTCAGGTTGTTTCAAAGCAGTCAATGTATTCGGTTTGTGTGTAACGTCTAGCGTATCTACCATATGTAGTAGATATTTTTGAGGCGCTTCCGTGGAGTTAACAAGTATGCTATCTAGGCGTGTATATAATCAAAAAAACAAACTTTCGCATTCATGTTACTGTTTACTAGTAGGATATAAAATTAAAATATGAAACTTTTTGTTACCACTTGGGAAAAGTTTTAAATGGTTTATTTATATATGTACCTATGATTCTTTATATCCCTACCAATGAGGATATGCCAGTAGGGATAATAGAATGGCGAAAGTTAATAAATTCCACAATACCCGACCGAACCAATTAAACCTCAAACTTTCGCAAAGATGATGATGATGATGATAAAAAAAATTATATATAGCTAGAGCGTGCTTTAGAAGGCACATTAAGCCGTTGATCCTGGTTGCACATGCAGTCGTTATCACCCACTAATCCGCTCTGGATCCGCATGGTGTGTAATAGCCTAATCTCCCTACACTAACCTTATGGAAGCGCCTATGTCCCAGCAGTGGGGTAATTAATAGCCGATGATAATGTCTGGAACTAAACTATAAGCAAACTTGCAAAATGCATTGAAATCAATGTCAATGGAATTGGTCTAAAAATATCATAAAGAAGGTTTACATTGAAAAGTCTGTTATAATTTCAAAAAGTTTATTTACACAGTAAATCTTATCCTTAACTAAACAGTATCATTTTATAATACTCGAGAAAATATAGTTATCGTCAGGCAATTGTAAAAAGATATTCGATGCTGAATAGTCGAGCAGGAGCAGTGGAATACTACTGGAAGGAGATAAGACCAGGCGGTGGCTCCGGAGGCATGAACGGAGGTAACGTCATGCTCGGATCTGAAAATAATTGTATAATTAAATAAAGATAAAACAATATCCATAATGATTTGATAAGTCATTTATTATTACTAGAGATCGGATAATCGGATGCATATTTACCTAATATTTGGGTGCCCGAATTCGAGTAATGTCTTTCATGTACCAAATGTAATTGAGCCATAAAGTTGAGATGATGGCTATTATCGAAAGCACATTTTTTTTATCACAAAGATCCCACGAGAGATGAGATGAGATCTAATAAACCCAGATTGACACAAATGTCAGTTGCCTTGTGTGTCATAAAACTATTGTGTAAGATGTCCTATGAATAAATAAATTTATATTCATTCATATTTTCCCATTAGCCTCACCACTATTGGGGTTACACACCTTACATACACACATACTTGAATGAGAAATTAAAATTTTTGCTTTAAGTAAATAAACATCCAATTAGATATGCGATCCCGGGATCTGGGATCAAAAAATATACTAAGAAGCCGCTGCCGTAAATTGTTAGCCAAAAAATAACTATAAGTAAATATGCATCTGATTATCCGATCTCACTAATTATCACGCATTAATTTACGTTCGCAAATTATGACTTTTAAGCCACAAAAGTTGTATCATAGCATTTAAAATATCGGTTATTTTTAATGCAACGATATAACTTATATGACGGTTAAATTAACCAATTCAAAAATAAGTCTTTTGTAAGATCAAAAAAGACTTGTATTTGTATCGCATAGTAACATGACTTTTATTGTCCTTATACCACGACAACCTAATAAGTTTTCTTGTAGGATTGAACCAATTGAAGGCCTTTTTGGGAAACCCCAAATAACTAGCAAAAATTACTAATAGCAACTTTTATATAAAATTAATATCTAGCTAGTAAGTAACATAATAAAAATCAACTGCACTTTTTGAAACTATTATCCCGTCAAAGGAGATTGCTCAAATTGCCCCAAATGTACAAAAAATATTGACATAAGGTAATTCTTGGCGTAATTTATACTTTATTTTACAGTCATTATATTTTAAAGGACACCTTTGTATAATATATTCATTTTAAAAAGGACTTATATTTTTACCGGTTTGGAAAACATACGAATCATTTTTAATGGCTATGGGTGCAGTAACATTCAGCCAAAGAGTGATCGAAGTTGTTTATATAAACATCAAAACAAAACTATTATGTAAAGATCGAAAAAATAAAACATTTTTTTTATTACACTGTGGTATTAATATCCACATGATTATTATCATTTTTACTACATGCAAATGAGCTAAGACAAATATTATAGATGGTAGGCGACATCATAAAGTCTATTGCCATACATTTTGCACCAAACACCTCCATAAACACATTATAAGGTGTGATACACTAAAAATCTAAAATATAAACATAACAAAAATAATAAGCTTTCTTTAGTTAACGAGAGTTTAAAAATTCTCTCTAATCTGTGGCTCATTTACAAATAACACACATTTTCTGTCACAGAGTACCTTATTATAACAGGAAATGCATAGATGATACCTGATTTTAAAAGTTACTCTTAAGCATTAACTATAAAAACTATTTATTAATCTACATGCTTTATATACCTGAATCTAATACATAATTTCGTTACTTATTTGTTTTTTATTGTTTTAATACCTATGTACCTATTTGCAAACAACCTCAAAATCAATCAGTGTATATGGTTTATAGAAGTTCTCAGGGGTGTCCGTCAATAATATTCGTTTCTACAGTAATTTATATATAATTTCGAATCTAGGAAACAATTTTTCATGATTATTGGTCTATAGGCCAAACATGTATGGAAGCTGAGCAATCTCCTTTGATTTAAAGTGACAATGCTTGAAAAACCTCTTTCAATATAAATCATTCCGGTGGTGATGTATTCTTATACAGTTGGAAGAATGTTCTAATATTGAAAGATGTTATAAAATATTGTGAACTTGTTTATGGTGACTTGAAGGAGCGGGATCTTCTCCTACAGGTATTATTTCACTTAAAAGAGCGCCTCCATAAGGAGAATTGTAATTTCTACATTGTAAAAGAAATATATTATTTTCATTTTAACCCGACTTCAAAAAAGGAGGAGATTCTGTTTTCGACTGTATTTTTTTTATGTATGTTCACTGATTTCTCAGTCATTGTGGACAGATTTCCAAAATTCTTTTTTAATTCGAAAGAGTGCACTTCCGGGGTGGTACCATTGGAACCAAGTCAGGATCTGATGGTGGACTCCAGGGAAATCGAGGGAAACCTTCAAATTTCAAAGGCACGCACGATTGTTTTATTATGCATATTCACCGATATCTCTGTCAATTGTGTTATTGTTTACTTGTACGATGTAATTTCCACTAAAATGGATGATTTTTTTTAAACAAAAAAATAAAACCGTCTTTAAAATCGACAGTGGAACTAAAAAGAATTACCGATCAGAAACGAAAATCTATTTAATGTTTCAATCTTGACCCCGCCCGACTTGCAAATCATGAACCAGATATTATTTTTTTACTTTTTAGTACCATTTTCGATTGTGAAGTCGGTTTTATATTTTGTTTAAAAAAAACATTAATTGTGACAATCAATATAAAACAGACGACTCACCCGTTCCGAGACTACCGGGCCGGCGTGGCATAGCATGAGGGGGACCTCTCATTAGCTGCATAGGCGGCGGTAATGAGCCAGATAGATTAGGTAGAGCTCCAGGTAGATTGGATAATGCCCCGGGCAGATTGGACAATGAATTGGGTAGATTAGGTAGTGTACCGGCCATATTAGCTATGGGAGTGGGTAGGTTAGGTAGTGCGCCGGGCATATTAGCTAGTGAAGTGGGAAGATTAGGCAGTGTTCCAGGGAGATTAGGTAGTGTTCCAGGGAGATTAGGTAATGTGCCGGGTAGTTGATTAGATAGTGAGCTAGGCATATTGGGTAGTGTACCCGGTATATTAGCTAGTGAAGTGGGTAGATTGGGTAGCGAGCCAGGTATATTGGATATTGTACCGGATAGATTGGGTATTGTGCCGGGTAGGGTAGGTAGTGTAGAAGGTAAGGGAGGGGGTGGGGGAGGAGGTAAAGCGTCCCAAAGAGGGACGTGATCGGGATGGGTCGCGGGACAGGGCCACGCGCAGCCGTATCGACGGGACTTCTTCTTCTGTATTCGGAAGGAGAAAGAGAATAATAGTTTTTTTAAGCATTTATATCTTATAGATGTTTAAAACTAAAGAAAGGACATCGACGAAATCGGCCCTAGCATGCCCAAAAGAATGTCCTTCACTATTATTTTTCTATTATTTTTTTAACTTATTAGCAATTAATCATTGTAAACGGACAATCTGTTTAAGAAAATAAAAAATTAAAGTTCTGTTACTAGATACTACAGTCTGTTCATCCAACTTGGCACTCCTTTTTATTGAAAATACAGCATTAAAAATCAACTGATAACTAGATTCAATAGGTTTCAGTCTATAATAACGATTTATTTTAATAGTTTATTGGCTTCGTTAATATTTTATTATTAAACGGGTGATTCTGTTAAAAAGTTGTGCCAAGATTGTTTACCTTATTAAATGCAATATAGGCGACCATAAAAATAGAACTAGGAACCTTAGTCAATAATACTTATTACTAGTATTTATATTATATTTATAAAAAGATTATTTCTGAAATTATGTAAAGATAGTTTATACTCCCATCCCATGTAATATCTGTTTATTTTTATGAAAATCATATTGATAACCAGGTACATACCTAATTACCGATAGTAAAATATAGAAACAGGTAAATGGAAAGACTGAACATTTCATTTGAAAAGAAATCTATTATTACCTACTACAGGTAGGTATAGGTATCATAGGTGCCAACTGACAACACTCATAAATCAATATGAATATAAGCATTTATTATTTTTATTATTAATTGCATTTTATGTTCATTTAATGCATATTATTTAAGTGCTTACATAGAGGTAAAAACTAAATCTATTCAGAATATATAAAGTGTACATCTTTTACGATTAAGTATAATAATTATAACCTCAAAATCTAATACATTCTGTAGTAGGCCACGGTTCCTCAAGTTGTCCGTATCTCAACAAATGCTTAATTAGAGTTTATGAATGATTCCGAACACAACTAGCATTTTCTCATTGCTGGGCGTTATAGGGCATTCAATGTATGGGGAACGAGCAATGTCCTTTTTACACGAAAAAATTCCACGCGGACCAGGCAGCAGACGGGATTCGAACCCGCATCCTCCACTATCCGGGCGCACTGACCATTGTGCTACCGCGGCCCTAACTGTCGTGTCGTATTCGTTCTAGTATTTCTTATAGGCTGCAAGATAGCGCCATCTCTTCGTATTGTAAGAGTTAAAAGAGATAAAATATCCATAAAATTTGTGTAACAATATAATAATATCTGGATTTCAAGTTTTTGGATACTATGTAGTTTTAAGCTTTTGTAATTTTAAATATTTCTATGTAAATATGAATAAATTGATTACATTTTTGATACAATATTTAACTTTTTTCAGGATACCTAATTAAAATGTATCCCAAGACAAAATCTAATCGCCCGTCCGTGCATCATTTCCTACTAAACATTTTTTTCCCAGGTTCATATAAATTTCAATTTATTACATATAAATAATGGCCTTACCCTAGTAATAGGAGGTTCCTCCACGTCGGAGTCCTGTCCGGGCTTGTAACCGTCAGCGAAGCTGACGCGTTTCGCACCGCGAGCTATTTCCGCTAAGGATTTCCTGACATAAAAAAATCCATAATTAAGAAAATTAAAAAACAAGGGTATTGGAGGGTGAAAAGAGATTCGAGGGTGTAAAATATGCGAATATACGAAAAGATTCACTCGGAATCCTTCAGATTCAATAGACATTTTTTTTGGGTGAGGATTGTTTACAATTTACGGAAAAAACGCGTTTATTGCTTCCGGATTCTGATTTTGAACTTGGTGCATATGTCTTGCTTTAAACGCAAGTACTACAACGCGAAGAATTTGGATACAACACCAAATTTGGACGAATGCTGTATTTACATGCAGGTATATTATATCACTTTGTATTGGCAGATGTTATCTGCAGATATATTTCAAATCAGAAATCAGAAATCAATATATCTTTATTCAAATTGGATGTATAGTACAACACTTTTGAATCGTCCAAACATTTTTTTTCCCTACCACTCGTTATTGGACATATTTTTTTGCTGCGGAGAAAAACGAGCGAAAAAAAACTCCACAACATTAAAAGAATAATGTAACAACATTTACAAATCATTATGTTGTGACAACGTCAATACAATCATGATTTATTTAATATAGAACACCTGTTGTATATGCAGATAATAATCTCACCATATGCATATAATAATCTCACCATATTTTGATAATGTCAATGCCCAAAGATACATTACGGTAAAATATAAATTATCTGCACTGTGTGTGTTAGTTCATATGAATCATATAGAGAGCGATATTGAAAGATATCTACACAGATACAGATATCTTACCGCATCTGTGTAGTCTGTGAAAGCCTTCTGTATGTTTTTTTGTACGGTTCATGAAATATCGATGATGATCGAAAGAGTACAACGTAGTCATTAAATTAATAAATATAAAAAGAATTAAAAAATCAAAATAGCCACGACCCTGCCAGGATTCGAACCTGGAATATTCTGATAGTGTTGGGTGACGCTCTGTCAGGGAAAAAAAATGTGTTTTTTCCCTCCCTGTTTCTGTTTGTCTCCGAGAGACACGAGTCGCTAAACACGATAAATATACGTTGGCCGTATGGGCAGCAATATACGTTGGCCGTATGGTCATGAGCAGAGTACTTACAAGATTAGATTGTAGGTCGTTCATTTGTTCCTTCATTTCTTGCATTTCGCATAGGTTAAGTGTATAATAATCTTCACTTTTAGACAGTATACATTTTTAATACTTACGTCAATAGGATCCCTTTCTCCGGGGCATCTTTGTCAGCTTCTAAGTCGTCAGTTTCCTTTGTCACGTCACCGAGTACTGGAAGATTACTTCAGAATTATTAAAATATACACGCTTTATTATTCAAGGCGTTTTTTTTTATATCATATATGAAGTTTTTTGTCGACCTCCGTGACCGAGTGGTATGTAGGCCGGGTTTTAAGGTGTCGCCTACTCGTGAGGTCTCGGGTTTGATTCCGGCGGAGCAAATGTCAAGACGATGAATACGAGCATTTGTACCTAAGTCATGGATGTTTATATATATTTCTATATGTATCTGTATATGTATTCCATCCGTTATCCTAGTATCCCATAACACAAGCATTTCAGTGCTTACTTCGAGTTAATTGGTGTGTGTGTTGGAAACCTTTTATAGTATTCAAGTACATTTTACTAGAAAAACATCAAATGGGTAGTCTGCACATTAAGAATGAAAGTATTGTATTTTGTTATTTATATTCAGGAGGCACACACTGGACGGCTTTTTTATGTTCTTTCCTTTCGCGGGCCCGCTGGAAGAAATTTCAATATGTAAATATCTGTTATATTCTGTGTGTACTAAAATTAGTAAATAAATAAATATATTTCTTTAGATACGAAACTCATAAAACCACTATAAATAAACGAAGACTAAGCATGGAGTTGTTTTGTCTCTGTTCATTAAATGACAAATGGAATTTCAGTGATATGAACAAATCACGGCGTAACTAGTCCAAGCTTATTCCTCGTTTAATAATAAGGTGGTTACAGTATAGTGATTGAATGAAAAATATTAAAAAAAATATTGCAATCCTTGAAAAATCTCATTGCAGCAGAGGTTTGCGCTTTCGCTTATCTTAACTTCCAATGTTAGGTAAGTTCCGCCCAGTCCCCCTAGCATGACTAACAAAACGCGATATGATAAAGCGATTTATCGACACTCAACTGTCAAACTTTTATACAGACAACCATTCATTATGTTACCCATTGTCAATTTTTCTCGATTATTATTATATTGGTAATATAATAAACGTATCATCATCAGCCTATTAATGTCCCCACTGCTGGGGCACAGACCTTCCCTATGGATGGAATAGGGAGATTGGGCCATTAACCACCACGCGGGCCCAGTGCGGATTGGTGGGTGCTAACGACTGCAGATGCAGCCGGGACCAACGGCTTAACGTGCCTTCCGAAGCACGGTGGAACTCGAGATAGTAAATTTTTGGTCACCCATCCAATGACCGACCACTGCGATAGTTGCTTAACTTCAACGATCGCAGCCGAACGCGCTAACTACTTGCACCATCAAGCTCCTTATTCTCCTCATATATATATTAAACGTATAGTAGGTTCGAATCTCGCAACTAAGTATCTACCAATTTTAGACACATTTTCGACCCCCTATGTCATAAAATCCATATAAAAACATATTTGTACATAAAATTTAGGTACATTTAAGTAATATGATATTTGTTTATAACATATTTGTAATCAATTTATCTTTTCCCATTATGTCCTTCATAATAAACATCCATACGTTCATATTAAACTTAAAAAGCTAGGTGGGTCTATATATGAGTCCGAGAATATAGTCAAAACTTCATACATACCGGTCTCCCTGAGAGCTCGATCTATTCTCTCGTCTAAGGAGGAAGAGGTGACAGAGCGGACAGGGTTGGCCACTGTATCAGTAGACTTAGAAGGCGTAGAATTAGGGGTAGGTGCGGCAACAGACGAGGGGGGTTGTTCGGCGAAACAATCCCCGTATTGTAGACGGTCTGAAGCCCCGTAGGTCACCTGGTACGCTTCGTCGTATCTATGGGAAGAAAAACGACGTGTATCACATTATGTCGAGATCTTTAATAAAATAACATTTATTGTACATTGTAACAGTAAACTGTGAGATGAGTCTGCTCTTGCTTCATTGGATACTATTAATCGTTGTACTAAACTTTAATCGTTCATCTTTTTTGCCTAAACAGTAGCACACGGCACTCCTAAACTTCGTTAAACCAGTTTTTTATATAGTCATAATTTTTATATTCTTTGCATTTGTAATGGAAAGTGACTTTATGAGTTACCTCATATTGAAGTCATTTTTCAATTTGACGACTCTGTATACAATACAGGGAGAAAAAAACAGCCCTTGCTGAGTTTCTTGCCGGTTTTTCTCAGTACAAGGTCTCCCGCCGTAGATTTGCGAACTGATGGCGTAGCTTTTCGACATTCACAAGTGCTTGTAACAGCCTAGACTGAATAAACGATATTGAATTTTGATTTTTTTTATACAAATGGCTATTACAAAAATTAATTAACTAAATTAAAAAAAAATAACTTATCATATAATTGTTTTTTTAAACATTTAAATGCTAATTGCTTTAATCTAAAGAAAAGCTTACTAAAAAAAACCACACGGACCAGGCAGCAGACGGGACTCGAACCCGATCCCTTCGCTATCCGGGCGAATGCATTGACCATTACGCTACCGCGGCCCTGACGGCCGTATCGATTTTTCTCTAGCCTTAGGCAACGCCATCTGTTCACATTGTAGGTAACCCACAATGCGAAATGAATACTTTTACAAGTATTAAACATTTGAAAGAAGAAATAGCAATTATAGTTATGTTTTTAAGCATTTAACTGCTAGATGTTTAAATCTAAAGAAAAGTTTATTAGAAAAATTATAATGCATATACCTTTTTATATATCTGAGATTTAGAAACCTTGTAATAATAATATGTTCAAATTGTAAATTTCCTTGACATAATATTAGGTAACTCTGACATTCATAATTTTGTAGTTTTTATATTACGTGATTCATAATGCTTAACATTTAAGTTAAAATTTTATAAAGAAACGTCCCACGTTTTTTTTTAAAAAGTATTTTTTTTATATTATTATTTTGAAACAATAAATTTCAACCGAAAGAAAATTTGACTAGAAAAAAATTATCGCGGGTCAGGCAGCAAACGGGACTCGAACCCGCATCCTCCACTATCCGGGCGGATATAATTATGCTACCGCTACCTAATGTCCGTGTCGAATTTCCACTAGTATTTCTTAGGCTGCAAGGCAGCGCCATCTCTTAACATTGTATGTAAACAACAATGTCAAACGAATACTTTTATAACTATTAATCATTTGAAAGAAGAAATAGCAATTTTAGTGATATATTTTTAAAGCAATTAACTGCTAGATGTTTAAATCGCAAAGTTTTTTTTTCTATTTCAACATCTAGCAGTTAAATGCTTTATAAATTGAAATAATAACTCATTAAATTATATTTTTTTTAACTCACCCGATGGAGGTGTTACTAACATCATGCCTGTTAGCCAGACTCTCTATCTTGTATACGGGCTCCAATACACTCCTTATGGGATACTGCTCGGTGGTAGCGGGTGTGGTAGTAAGGGTAGTGGGTTCGGATCCCGGCCCCCCAGTCAATACTATGTTCACCTCGCCGGGCTTCAAACCTGTGCCATAAAGTATTGTGTGATGAATCAATAAATTGGGAAACTCAATGGCGCAGGTGGTCAGTACTTTCGGTCAGCGATTTATTTATTTATTAGCTAAGCCCCGCGGTTTATAAGGGATATTTTCCCGCAATAAAATGTATGTGTTAATCCAGGATGTCAGCTAACTCCATACCAAATTTTATTAAAATCGCTCCAGCCGTTTAGACGTGAAGAAGAACAAACAAACACACTCACAAACTTTCGCCTTTATAATATTTGTGTGATTTACTATGTTCTTACTTACAGTTTATGGACCAAAACATTCGTTTTTAAATATGAGTGTCTACTTAAGCTATGAACATAAACTATTTAAAAGTAGACACCTCATGCTTGTTAATTTCCTATACAAACCAATTCTAACTTTTTATATTCAATAATCTTAACGAAGAGCTCGATGGCGCAAGTGGTTAGCTCGTTCGGCTGTGATCGTTGAAGTTAAGCAACTCTCGCAGTGGTCGGTCACGGAATGGGTGACCAAAAATTTACTATCTCGAGCTGCTCCGTGCTTCGGAAGGCTGCTTCTGCTTCTAAAAAATCACTACCCTTAGTACGAACCAATTATATCGGTTCTGGTCAGTTTATTACCGTTCCTTCACAGTTAATTTCTTAGGTCTCCGGCTATAGATTTGCAAACCAATGGCGTTACTTTTCGATAGCTGCGGTGTATCTACAGATAGACTCACCTCATCTGGAGACGCGTGGCAGTTCAGTAGAGGTGGCAGACTTATCTATCAGTAACTATAATTTATAGTGTATCTACAGATAATCTCACCCCATCTGGAGACGCGCGGCAATTCAGTAGAGGTGGCAAGGTTTATCCATCATTAACTATAATTTATCGTCGATATCTACAGATAGACTCACCCCATCTGGAGACGCGCGGCAGTTCAGTAGAGGTGGCAGGCTTATCTCCGGCGCGCCAGTCACATTTGATCTCGCCGCGTCGTCTGCGCACTACGGTCTCTATACGCTGCGCCTCACCGCCGCTGTCGATCGATGATACCTAACCCACGGACCAAAAGATCATTATAATTTTTGTGAAATAATAATTCTTTCCACGGATTTTTTTTGGCCACGTGATTAAACTTCTCTTTTTATAGTAATTATATTTTAATTTTAAGCATTTATCTGTTAAAACCTAAAATCTTTTAGACCCGTCTGCTGCCTGGTCCGCGTGGAATTATTTCTAGTAGAATTTTCTTTAGATTTAAACATAATTTCGCAGAGTAATGGTTAAAATAAAAATATACTACAATTGCTATTTCTTGTTTTAAATGTTTAATACTTGTAAAAATCATGCCTTCGAGCCTAAGAAATACTAGAAAGATCAAATTCCTTCGACCTCCAGGAGTACTTGTATGAAAGTCGTATGTTTTTGAAGTAAGAGACTTGAAATTTAACATGTATGCTCTAGATGGTGTAGACGTGTACTAATGATGTATCTTTAGAAATAAAACCCCCTTTTGCGGTCAAAAAGTATGTGCAAATAACTAACTCCATGCGTACAAAGTCGCGGGCGGTCGCTAGTAAATAATAAATAACTAACCTGATTGGCGACATCGTTCTGATACGCCATCGCCATTTGCTCGTACATCTCATAGTTCTCGTGTTCGTAGTTATCAGCAAACTTGTCATCGCTATCCGGCTCTAAGCCCTTGTCATAGAGTTCAATTTGGCTTGCACTGACATCTGTGTTACAATAACTGATATTTTGCGGGCTTTCCTCTACAATTTTCTCCGGTTCTTTGGCGATAGTCTTATCTGTGTATGAATTTTCTTCTATTATCTGTGGTACAGGTTCCGGGGTTTCGTCTATTATTTGTGGAAGTGGTTCTGGTATATTGGTCACTTTAATTTCAGCGGGCAAAGGTATATTCGAATCTGGCGGAAGATGTATACTTGTCGGTTCCAGTAAGGTTTCACTGTCAGTACTCGAGTTACTGATTTCTACAGCAATTTTTGAATCGTCTGGTAAAGGTATATTTTTTTCCTCTGGCATAAGTGTTTCTGGAAATATTGGTTCGGGCACAGCTGCTGGGATCTCTTCCTAAAACATTATAAATCAAATAATGATTATTCAGTCAAACAGACTTGTAACAATCTGAAAACATTAACGGTCTTAGTACAATACGTTAGACACGGTTCCAAAAGTTTTTTAGGCAAATTTTGTACGATATTGCAAATTTTAATTGTGTTGAACGCATTTCTAATATTTTTTGCTAATAAGGTAAACGCTTGTGTTTAATCTTCCATAACCCATTATGAAGTACATCATAAAGAAAAAAATAGATCTTTCATTTTAAAAGTGTTGTAAAGGATCTCACATCTTTCTGTTCAATAGCCTTTTCCATTCTATGTTTATGTTTTATGTAAAATGACTGACTTACAGGTTAAATCTATTATATGATGTTGATTGATACTACTTAACAGAAGTATGTAATTGTGGATCTAGTCGCGTGCTCATTCCATGATGAATAATATAAAATTGCTAGTACATACCTTATTTTCTGCCTCCTGAGGTTTAATGTACACTGAAGCTTCCTCTTCATCCTTGCCTTCATCGTTCGCTTCAAATTTCTCAACTACTTCTTCACTTACAGGACTAACTTTGATAGTGTCATCCTTCTCTTGCTTTATATGAATATTGTTACCAACGAAATCATTTTGCAGCTCTTTCACATTGATAATTTCTCTCTCTTTCGGTTTCTGCCTTCTAGGAGAAAAGTCATTCATCTGTTGATGCTTTTCATCGTCCGTCAATCGCTCAGTCTTAATATTATTCAATACATTAACGTCAAATAAGTCTTCTTCACTCTGCGTCGATTCGCTCGACTCCTTTCGCTTCCTCTTTTTCTCTTTCTTCTTCTTTTTCAATAGCAAAGCTTTCTTCTTGATCTTCTTCTTCTCCACTTCAGACTCGGAATCGGAACTGCTGCTAGAAGATGAGCTGCTGGAAGATGAACTGCTTGAGGATTTGGGTTTCACTTTCTTCTTTTTCTGCGCTTTTTTTGTTTTCGCTTGAGCTTTCTTCTTTAATTTGCTATGTTTCTTCTTTTCTGTAGAGTGAAATGATTATTGGTGTAATTATTAATTTTATGACAATACACTCGACATTGAATCGTTAAAATTAAATTTATTATAAAAACCAAAACGTGTTTTAAATTTAACTAGGTTTTATACGTTTTGAACTAGTAGCAGAAAAATTACCTCTATCATCCTTTTCGGAATCGTCGGATATCTTTTCTATTTTAGGCATCTTCTTCTTCTTCTGCTTTTCTTTCAGCCTCTTTTTTACCTTCTTGCTGATGCGACGCTTTTTGGCCAGTTTCGTTTTAGTTTTCTTTATTACCTGCTAGGATCAAATGAGAATTATTGGTACGGTTAGTTATTTATAAAACTGCAATTAATAAATAAATACAATAGAGTCAACGAATTAGAAATAATATGGAATACGAACTGCGCTAAAAAGTGGTTCCACGCAAACTGCGATCAGGTGGGCGGGGCGAAGAACTACGATCAACACGCCGATCATGGGCTTGGCTGAGATTTCCGTTTATCAGTATCTTATCCATGGAATAGATAGCCGAATTCATTTCCAGATATTTAAGTTGTCAAAGTATTTTGTTTTCTCTGTGTGTATGTCGCGTTAGTATTGTTGTAGAGTCAGTGCGTAAAGAGAATGGGATTTAGATTTGAGGACGCTGTAGTTCTTTTCTACCGTATTTGTAAGGTTTTACCCCTTTTAGACATGATTAAATACAAAAAACCGCAAGAAATCACAACAAACAATGAAACAAATCCGTATCAATACAAAACTTTGACGTTTGACAGATGGCTGGGTTGGATTACTTTATAAAAACTCGTAGTCTTTCCGCACAGATTCTACGAGTTTGAAACCATATTTTAACGGCCTTAGTTAACGAGTAATGCTTCCATATCGTTTCTAATTAATTGAAAAAAGCCTATGACAAATAGTAAGAAAATATTAACTCAGTCTCGGATAGAATCGGACGGATTTTGAGTTCTATTTCGTTACAATATTCAAGTCTTAACCCAGACACGTCAATTAATGTTTAAGTTTAAACTGAAGATAAATATAAAAATCCCACCTTCTTCTTGATTTTCTTCTTTTTCTTGGAGTCTCCTTCGCTCGACGAATCCGATAGAGAGGGAGAGTGTTTCCGTTTCCTTATCTTCTCTTTCTCCGTTTTAATTTTCTTGCTAATGCTACAAAAGTAATTTTTAGATATAAAATTGATATTATTATTTTTAAAGGGGTCTCGTATTAGTTTTATACTTAGATTTTTATTCAACGATATTATAAACCCTAAATACAACATCACGAACAAAATTTTGGCCGAAACGCAGAAAGAGGTTAGAAAGACCTTGTGGGCGGGGCAGGCGCACCACAGTTATGTGTGCTCATAACTTGGCCAAAACTTGGTTCTGATTGCGTCATTGCTCTCGGGTATGAGCGCTTATTGGTTCACTTGTTTGGCGTCACGTCGTTCGATTGGCTATTATCTATTAGGGTGGAATAGTAGTGGGGGAGAGCCGGTGGTAACGGTTCCCATACAAACGGTCTTTAAGCACCCTTCCAACCTCTTTCTGTTTCGAATATTTTTATTAAATCATCTTTTAGTAGTTTTAGAACAAAGTTAGCTTCAAATGGGTTCATTTAACAAATATTGATTTAAAACCCGACTAAAAACCGAATGGTGTTAAAGAACTTCTTAATTGGGAGACATTTCGAGCACCTGTGTTTAATATCATTGTCTTTATTGTAAAAAATTGATGATACCCAAATGATTCCTTAAACAATATTAAAACTTAATGGTCACAATACAAATAAAACAACAACGGATAACACAAACACAAGCCATTTTTTTATAATATAATATTAAGAACGCCAATAGAACATAAAAATAATCAGTCCTGATACTCAAGTGGTGGTTCATCAAAAGTAGTGGAATACAATGCTTTGATTATATACACGCCCAAGATACCGTATTCACTGCACGGAAGCGGCTTAATAAATATCTACTACATATGGTAGATACGCTCGTCGCTAGGACGCACACATTGACTGCTTTCAAACAATCTGACATTAAAGTCACGCACATGTAGCGGCTCAAATCCGCTACCGCAACCGCTGCGCTTGTGCAGTGAGGCCACACATGAAAATCCTACGATGTGACGTCACAGCAACCGGTCTGCGAGCCGTCTATTGTTCCCGCGCCTGCAGCAGCAAGATGGCTGCTCACGGTATGCCGTCATTAGCCAACGGGTTGGAATGACCACACCTACGGCGGCGTAACACCTCCTACTTCGAGAAGGCGACGTACGCAGCTCCCTTCTCGGCGCAGACGCAGACACCGCTTATACAAGACGATCTCCGAGACTCCGTGACCATTACGCTCTCATCGGCTTACGCTTAGCTTTGCTTAAGAGTTATAAATACTTCCATCCATATCCATATTGTTTTGTTTTTAATTAAAATATTATTCACTGAAATTGCTTAAAGTTTATTGCGTTTTGCCTTTAGCTGAGTAGCCCGCATCTGAATAAAATAAAACTTGTGAGCCGATTAATCCAGGGTTCGATCCCCAGAGAGCGCAACTTGTAAGGAGGTTCCTATAGGAGTCGCAGAACTCCTTCATACACATTACGCGTAAATGAGCATTTGGATTACTCTATCTAGGCGTGTAAATGAGGAGCTCGATGGCGAAGGTGGTAAGCGCATTCGGCTGCGATCGTTGAAGTCAAGCTACTATCGCAGTTGTTGGTCATTGGATGGGTGACCAAAAATCTTCTATCTCGAGTTCCTCCGTGCTTTGGAAGGCACGTTAAGCCGTTGGTCCCTGTTCCATCTGCAGTTGATATCACCCGCCAATCCGAACTGGGCCCGCGTGGTGGGTCATAACCCAATCTCCCTATTCTATTAATAGGGAAGGCCTGTGCACCAGCAATGGGGATAATAATAGGCTGATGATGATGATGATGAGGCGTGTATATAGTCAAAGATGAAATGTTAATAAGTTTATATACATATAGACAGGCAGAATATGATGTGGTACCATTTGATCGAAGACTCGATAGGTGGAGGACTGAATCGAAACATTTCATTTGATAGGGTCTGTGGGATCTCCTCCCTCCTTTGGTGCAGCATGAAAGAAATATTATATCTGTATATATATACATACATATATTCACATGAAATTAAACTATGGCACGAGGAGAAAATCTTTTCACAAAGTATTAAAGTATAAGTACAAATAATATGTCATTCAATATACGAAAAAAACAAAACGTGTTTTGTTTAATACATTGTTGATTCTATGTTAAATGTATTGAGGGTTATTATTTATATTGGGTAGTTAAAGTATATTAAGCAATATATTATGTTTATGCATTATCGAAATATTTCGACATAAAATGATTTTAAAGTAAGATAATAACTAAAGTTCTAAACTCCGACCCCCTTATTAATAAACAAGTAATAAGCTTGGACTAGTTACGCCGTGTTTTGTTCATGTCACTGAAATGCCGTTTGTCATACAATGAACAGAGACAAAACATAGTTATTAATCCAAGTACCTTCGTTTATTTATAAGGGAGCGAGAAATCCATGGGTGTATTCCGAAATATACATCAGTATACTGACCAGTGGTAATGACGTCACGAATTCGACGCCATATTGTCCTGGTATGCTACCATATTCTTACCGGGAAAACGAATATGACCTATAACCGAGCGTGCGTGAGATGCATTCCAATTTTATTTCTTTTTTATTTAAAGAACAATAATGGCATCCGAACAAAAAGAATTCCTTTTAATTGATGAGGTGAATAAAAAACCTTCTTTATTCGCACTATTTTTAATATTTCGGCGATTTATGATGTCAGTGCACTGGCGAGTTTATTTCGGAACAATTCACCAGTATAGCGTCGATTCATGACGTCATTAGCACTGGCCAGTATACTGGTATATTTCACGGAATACACCCAATATAAACTATAGTGGTTTTAGATGCTATCTAATATATTAGGCTAATGTTTAATGTAATTTTTGATAAGGTAATAATAAATAAATAATTAACACATTGTATTTCGAAAAATGTATGGTAAGTTTCTTAACAAAGGTTTTTTATTTCAAGGTTCGCTTATGTAGGTTTCACATAAATTATCAAAACAATATATACTTACGCTTTTTCAGGGTCGTCCTCAATATCCGACTCTTGGCTCCAACCTTCGCTGCTGAGCTTAATTTTCTTCGTCTTTTTCTTATCTTCTGCGTCCTTTTCTGCATCTTCTGTCTTCTTCTTTTTTCTGCTCTCCTGCCTAGCCATCTTGTCGGGGGTCGTGCTTCGAGATGTCTCCGGTTTAGCATCAGCCACTTCTGTCCATACAGATTCTATAAACCTATTTGAAATAACATTGGCTTTATAAGCGTATTATTTAAAACTAGCAAACCAGTGAAATAAATGTTCACCAAAAAAAAAAGAAAAAAAAAATCAATTAATTGAGAACTTCGGAGATTTTGTGTGGTTTCCTTTGAAATAGAAATCACGTGATTTCTCGAAAACTGGAAGTGCTACGTTACTCAAATCCGGTTTGTAGTCTTATCAGGCTATTCTTAACTTATAACTTAAACATTCTCTTTATCTATCTCTTACGGTTTGGCCGCTGAAACAGCACCACGGACGGACGGACTTGTCTATTAGATAAGAGATGAGGCTATTTTAATTTTAACAGGGTTATAGGTGGTTGGCCGGATATCATGTGTTTGTTATGTGATAGCTGTTCGTACTCCAACAAATAAATGAAATTATAAAATAATAGGTAATGCAACAGTCATATTATAAATAACATTAATAATAAATAATAAGAAGAGAGTCTGTTTATCTCATGAGGTAAAGCCGAATAAGATAATAGGTTGACTAGAGTCTTTTGAATACCTAAATTATATACTAGTCAAAACAAAATAAGGGCCATATATTGTTTTTAACTTTCATGGTCACTAATATTATAGTAATATAAGTTATTAACGGGATTGTTACCATGTACATTGTTTTTAGTGAGTGTTTTTAGCGAGTTTCCGATATTTCGGCACTGGTATCGATTCCGGCGTGATTCTCTAAACTTAAAACTAAATTTAACATCAGTCTCTCCTTTTCATTCTGTATAGAGAATGACAAGGATACACTGGTGTCAAATTTAAGTTTAGGTTTAGAGAATCATGTCAGAATTGACACCACTGTTCCAAGCTCCATGATCCCGGAGTAACTGAAGTAATTGCTAGGTTGTTATTTTCAGACATATCGGTCTACCCTCCGACGAAGACTTTTATTGTGTCCGATACCCGTACCACTGTTCACATTCTCAATTCACTCAAATGTCTGGAATCCTGTGGTTCGTATGTGTAAAATCCGAAATAATCAAAAGAGTGTCGCGATCCGATACTGTAGGTGTTGTGTGTCGAGAACAGTTTCGAGTGAATAGTGAGAATGTGATGATGTAGTTGTTCTCACCTCTGGTACTCGCGATGCAGACAGGAGTCTTGCTGGGGGGTGGTAGAGCGGCGCGGTTCGTCAGTCTCCCAGTCGGAGGATAGTTGTACGGGGCCGGTGTGGGGCACGCAGCCCACGCGTGGGTACCACGAACGATTAGGCGGGCTTAAAGCGTCTGGGATCCTATACAAATAAATAAAATTAATAAATATTTCGAACATCAATTTCACCATTTATATCTGTTCAGTGTGAAATAAGTTAAATTAATTCACGGCTGGTCAGAATAACCATCTTGTTCTCGCTGCTAACGTGCCCCGCCTGGGCTCGAATCTCGGTAAATGTAGAAAAAAAATTGCGCATTGAAAATAGTATTTGTTCCTGAATCCTGGTAGTTTATCAACGTTTTATAAATGTCATTAAGTATCCAAAATAAAAACGGCTTTGATAGAGACTAATTAATTGGAATTGTGATTGAACCACTTTTTTTTTTTTTTTGAATTAAGTATCTCTCCGAACTCGGTAAAACTGTACTTTCTGAGCCCAGGATTTGATACTTCTTTTTTTTTTGTTGAAAAGATCTCTTCACTAAGTTTTTTTCAGCCACTTCGTTGGCCGATACCGCGGCACGCTCGCTGCGCTCGCTCGACTATGTTGTGTTAAGTATCGACTCGTGGGACCATAAAATACAGCTTAGCCCAGAACTCACTGATCACAGCCGTAAACTCGATCCACCAATGACATCTTGCACATCTCCAACTCTTCGTACACCACGGAACGATCTTTCACACAATTGCACGCCTTCGGGCTAATGGTGTACCACAGTTTTGGGTTTGTGTGAGTCTCCCTAGAAACATTTCAAGGAATATAAATATTGAACAAATATAACATGAAATAGATAATAAACCACATTTCCAACCAATCCTAAGTTTAAAAAATAAATTATCCCAAGTAAAAAACCGTTCTCAAAATAAAACAGTATTTTTGTCAATATCATTGACATTTTGAAAGTTATATGTCAATATATGCTGGTAGGTCCATCTGCATCTTATTTCTTTTGACTTATGACACATAGAGCAATTGAGACTTTAAAATTTATTGAATCTAGAATGCATTTATATCAACCTGAGGAGCTACGCCATAGATTAGCAAACCTATGATTGAGAAACCTTGTTTTAAGATCTATTTTAGTTCATACAGAGTCATCATTATATTTTCAAGATTAAAGTTACTGCATTTTTCTTTATTTTCAGGGCAGAGACAGTTAATACTATGAACCGACAAATATAACCCAGGAATAATGTAATTCTATTTAAATGGGAAGGCAATACATCAACCAACACAAATTTAAAGAATACACAAAATAAACAACTCACTTGTAACATTTATTCTTATCATGTCTAAACAGGAGTGGCTGGCATATCTTTAAGACAAAGCTCCAGGTTTCCAAAGAGTCCACGGTGCTTCTGGACATTTTGCGTTCGAGCGAGCTATTAATCTCCTTCTCCATAGACAATCTGAAGTCATCAGACCTCCTGCTATCTTCGGATTTATAATCACGTTCCGATTTATATCCACTTTCTGTGGATTTGTAACCACTCTCGGTGGACCTGTACCCGTCAGAGTAGTGGCTCTGTTGACTGGATTGCAAGTCTCTCATTCTGTCATCCAACTCGGGAGTCACAGAACCTTGACTCATTTCAATCTTGAATTCATCATCGTCCTCTTTAGGAGAGTCATATTCTACTAAGCCAGTCCTGTTATCTTGACTCGTGTCATCGCTCATGTTCTCCTGTTTTATCTCATTGATGACCGACTCTAAGAAGTTGTCGTCGTTAGCGTCGATCACGCTTTCTTTCGACATGTCTTGGTCGTATTCGAAAAGCTTCAAGTCTGTCGGCGAATCGTAGAGAATCTGTTTCGTCACCGGCGTTTTAGAATATTTTTCTGTTTGGCAATCTATGTCGTACAAATCCAATGCATCTTCTTCTTCGTTAGGGTCTAAATCGAATTTATATGCATCAATCACTGGCTTCAGTTTCTCCATCTTTTGCTTACCAACTGGACTATCCGATGACGTGCTAACCTTCCTTTTGAAGTTTTCTTTTAACATATCCGCAGGTTCTTTAGGTTTATCTCGGACTAAAAGTCTATTTTCCTTGTTGATCCTAGGACTGGAATTACTTTTATCTTCGTTATCTAAAGACCAACTGTCGCAGACAAAATACTCGCTCAGATTGACGTCAGTTTCTTTGCGGCCTTTTCTACTTTCTGGCCTCTTTGGTTCTTCCTTATCTTTAGCTTTGTATTTTTCTTTATCTTCTCTATATTTTTCTTTATTGTCCCTATATTTTTCTCTTTCGTCCCTATATTTTTCTTTATCTTCTCTATACTTATCTTTGCTCTCCCTTCTTTCAGCCTTATCGTACATAAATGTTCTCATGTCATATTTATCACTCTTCCATCTGTCTGTTTTTTCATTGTCATCTCTTCGTTCTACTCTTGAAGTGCTGGGATACTCTTCTTTCTTTTCGGTCTCTATGGGCTCGTCTTTTTTACGTTGGAAGGGGTTATCGTAATCGGGCAAAAGTTTCTGATAGTCGAATTTGAACTCTCTACCTGCAGCTCTTGCTTTCTTCGCCTCGCGTATTAATTCATCCACTTTCGAGGGATCTGCATTTATAAGAACAAGATATAAGAAATTTATAAGAATAATAGCTTTCATTTCATATAAAGGTACTTAACAATTGCTATGATACCTTATAGTACCTTAATCTACTTACAACCAAAATACATAGGTACCAAATATGATTACAAATTAGATAAAAATATTAGGAGTAAAATAAGAAGGTTAGTAATAGTAACTGACTACTTATGTAAGCGCACTACAACAAGTCTGGCACATGATCGTTAAGAAAAAAAATAAAGGATTTCTCAACAAAAATGTCCAGAAACTGTACCATAAATTAATTATTTAAAATAATCCTAAATAAATATATTCTACAACCCCTAAAACAAAGACTACGAACTTACTTCTCGTAAAGGTACCTTGCCACTACACCATAACATAACATGAGCGTTCTAGGAACCTTTCCGACACGAAAATACATCCCGTACGTATGATGTCAGTGGCCCAAGGACGAAGAGGCTATTTGCAAGTATGAAAAATAAAATACCAATTGTAGGCATCTTTATTCAATATGAATATTAGAAGCGATTTTACAATTCAGAAAGACTAATCATAACTTTTCAAAAAATCGTTAAATAGAAATTATTGCTTTGTTTTATGGCCACGTGATTGCAAACACCTGGGAGTGGCGATGACTAAAATCACGTCACACGCTAGTAAACTTCCGGTCTAGTGGCATTACCTTGTATCGTTTGACACGTTTCAATGACAGCCGTGTGATGTCACATACCAGTGAGACGCCATAATGTCCAGAGAAATGTTTTCGCGGCAACTTGAAAATGTAATAATATATTTAGTGAAATGCGCTAGTAAACTTCCGGTCAAGTAGCATAACGTTGTATCGTTTGACGTTTTAATGACAGCCGTATGACGTCACATACCAATGAGACGCCATAATGTGTCATAATGTCCAGAGAAATGTTTTCGCGGTCACTTGAAAATGTAATATTTTATTGTTTTTTTTTACTGAAATGCACAACAGAATGATGAATATCCACTTTTTATGGACTTCATAAACATATATAATAAACGTGAGATCGTTTTCTAAAACTTGTTAAATATCCTATTATGGCTGCTCCGTGATCGTATCGTATCATCAAAGTTCCTATGAAAACTAAACAGCGCCCCTACCGGATGTAAGAACGCCCATACAACTGGCTCCTTCCATACATAATTTGATGATGACGATACGATTACAGAGCTGTACCCTTAGCACGAACCAATATCGAATTCGTAACGTTTGCGAGTCCGAAATGTCATTGTCAAATATGTACTGATTTTTAGTTCTCGTTACGTACTTTATAATAATAATATCATTTATTGGCAGACAACATAGATCCATATGTTAGTATTACTTTGTGGCGCCGCTTAAACTTTCCATACAAAATTTTACATTGACATTTCGCACTCGCAAACTATTCGAATTCGATAATGGTTCGTACTAAGGGGTACTGTACCAAATTCGTGCTTAGAATGCAACCCGTATGTTTTCTGTATTATGCCCGAATGCGACATCCACTTAAAGAATGTCAATTTGCGAGGGCAAAAACGGTCATCTTACGCGGTTAAAGCCCGTATATGTTCACCATATCCGTTTCAGTGTGGCCTTCTTGAGAGTTCCGGGTTCGAGTCCCGGTGGGGGCAGATGTTTGTGTGATGAATACGAGCATTTGTACTCCAGTCATGGATGTTTCATATGTATTTTTATATAAATATACTTATTTAAGTATACTTTCAGTTACTCCGGTATCCCATAATACAAGCCTTACAGTGCTTACTTTGGGGCTAGGCTAATTGGTGTGAGGGCTGGAAATATTTATTTTTATTTTATTTATTTATTTTAGTATCGCCAACAATTGTTGACGCTCCGCATGGTAGGCGACGGTGTTAGTTGTAAAGGTCTAATGGGAATAAAATTAAACTTTTCAGTACAAAGAATACTTTCTTGGCCAACACGTCCCCAGCAGGGTTATGGTATGATACGGTGTAGTGGGTAACCTTAATCCTACTAATATTATAAATATGAATGTTTGTACGTTTTTGTATTTGAATGTTTGTTACTCAATCACGAAAAAACTGCTGAACGGATTCGGATGAAATTCGGTACGCATATAGCTTATTACCTGGATTGAGACATTAGTTTAGTTTTTCAGGGCAGTTTCCGCACTTAGTTCTAATTATTGGACCATTGTGCGTGTCTCAAATATATTGCCGTTTACTCTATATATACATATATATATTTTAAATAAAAATAAAATATATATCTATTTAAGTTACATAAACTTAACCAATTTATTTTTTAGTTTAAATTTAGTAAATACTTACACTAATTGTATAAACAATACAAGATTTACGATAAGGTTAACTATTACTAAAGACGTACAAATACTTTCAAACTATTATACTTCAAACCTTAACAAATAAGCCCTTAACTTACGAGTGTGTTTGCTCTTATGTTTGTGCTTGATTTTCTTGTATTTCTTCATGATGCTTGACTTGTGCCCACGCGATTCAGAGTGATACACTCGGAAACTGCGTGCTTTATATTCAAGCAATTTTAACATAACATTATGCAAAGTAATAACAGTAAAGAAAATATAACCAAACAAATGATAAAGAAACTATTAAGCATTATATTTTAAGCGTACCTTAAATTACATTATAAAATTATTCATAGAACGAGTTGTTTCATTAGCCTATTATAAACAAATTAAATATAATATTAGCTCTTTATTTTAGTGGCATAAGACTGTAAATATCTGTGGTCCTAGATTTGATTCCTGCCAAATAGGTTCCTTATGAAAAAATATAATGAACCCCATGCTTCCTTTCATAGTTTGCTATGACTTAATTTAGGTTTATATCAATAGGGGTGATGACGAAGTAAAAAAATTAGGGACACTTATTTTTTTTGTAAATCAGCCAAAAATAACAAAGTTGGCGAGCGCCCAATTTGGGAACTGGGGGCGCATGACGTCACTTCTAAGAAAAAAAAATACCAATACGTGACATCATGCGACATTTCAAATCAATAGATCTCTGTAATGTTTTGACTATGTAAAAAAAAATACTTGCTAAAAAAATGTAAAATAAAAAAGTTTCGTCATCACCCTATCAGAGGACAGTAGATAGAGGAAAGTATTCGCTCAAAACAAAACATTTTTTCCTTACTTTTACAGGTATTATCATGCAGTTTCAAGAAGAATTAGTTCACAACTATTAATAACTGTACCTAAAAATGATTTGATTGGAGGCATGGCCTTAGTGGGCATAGCTTTCTCGCTGGTGGCGCTGGGACAGATCAGACCCAACGGTATGCCTAATTCAACCAACTCCATCTTGCGCTTCATATCTTCAATTTCGGCGATGTTTCGCTTCTGTAGGTTACTGTACGAGTCTGGAAACAAAAGATACTCTAAATGAGATAGTTATTGAAGTGTTGATAGTTGTCTGTTATGGGTTTGACAAATAGTTTAAAGAAGAAATTAAATTTTAAGTACAAAGAGCTGATTTCGCATAGTGCGTTATTTCCTTCGTTCCTTGTAAGATACATTTGGTATGGCTGTAGTATTAGCAATTATATACCAGTGTACCAGTGTTAAAACTTTTAGCCCTTTAGCTGGCTATACTGGCCTTCTACTATACGAAGTAATGTAGTTGCTTTTTTTTTTAAACTTAAGTAATTACAGGTTTAGCTTACTACTCAAAAACAAAATAGGACCGTCAGACGTACACTCTATGTTTGTATACATATGAGTAGTATAGTATTCCATTTTTAAAACATAAAGCATAAATGATACAAAATGAAGTGGGCTCACCTGTCCTTTATTATAACTATATGAAACTTGGACATGCCTGACTAGGGAGTGAAAACAGTTGGAGGAGGCCTTTGCCAAAAGGTACACACAAAGTTAGAACAGTACTTTATATAAAAACAAAATTGAATCTTAGAATAAAAGTTATGAATACATAGAATAAAATCTATTTAAGTATTAGAAACAAAACATTCAGACACTCACCTTGCACTCTCCTGGCGGAACCTGGCTTAGGTGGCTTGGGCGGTTTCTTTTCACCATCTGCCTCCTTCTCTGGTTTAGGTGTGGTCTTCACACTACTTAGCTTACCAATCAGCACGGTAGCACCTGTAAATAAATCATAACCTTAGATTAAAACAAAAAGGGAAGATACGGTACGCTCATACTAGCATCAAATAAAATATGAGCCGACTCAACTACATAAGCAACTCTCACATTCGCACATGACTGTACATTCGTCACATTCAACGTATGTTTCTTCAGATTTTTAGACTGTGATTTTAATAAAATTTGGTATGGAGTTAGCTGACACCCTGGATTAACACATAGACTATGTTTTACTGTGGGGCACAGCTAGTGTATAAATATGTGTGACTGTTAGCATATCTTAATAAATAGTTAAATCTAATAACCTTTCAATTTTACTGACTTCATTCATATACTACATAGATTCATACTTTGAATCAACAAACATTTTTTATATCATATCAGTTAATCAAATGTATTTCTTATACATACTGCCAGTGGTCACAGGTTTTGGTATAGCCATTGCTGTGATTGGAGTTTTCTTCTGTATTGAGAATGCCCGGAGTCTTTTCTTAGCATTCTGAATACCTTTAGCAGAAGTAAATTTGGAACTTGGACTCGGTGTTGGTGTTGTGCCCACATTTAGTAGAGCAATTTTGGACTGTAAAAAAATAATAATTACAAAATCACCTGTACTCACAAAAAACACAATAATTAACTTAATAATAAAATGAGCTTGTTAAAACTACTTGATTTTAAATGAATTTTTGCCAATTTTAATACTAAAATATCATTATTATTCTATCAAAATATTGAAACTTAGCCAAAATTTAAAATACATTGAATGATAGTGGTGAAGGAACTAACATCTGAAATAGCTACCACAACATAATTACTGTGATACTGTCAAATCAACACTTAATATAAAATAAAGCATTACTTTGAGGATTCAGGAGTTGGATTTTTTTTAGTTTTTGGTAATTTAATTTGAAAAGCTTACAATTATACCATGTTAATACTTGTACCAGACAGGTTTAGAAATTCATAACTCAAATACTGATTTATCAACTTACTTTGTCATATTCTGAAGCTGAAATACCCGGCGGGACAAGATCGTCAGAATCTTGAGAATCAGTTCCTGCTGCAGATTCCATAATGGGATGGATTGTATAGTTACATACAATTTTATAGTTTTAAGCTTTTGTTTAATAATAGATTGTCAAGATATTAGAACTACAATTTAATTAAATAATTTTCATAGTTCGTTCATTATTGGGCCGCTCAATTCTCCCACAAAAACCACAAAAGCAAAACTCGCTTTCTAATTCCAATCTGTCAATGTCAAATTAATTTGTTTTTGTATTATTCTCAAAATTAAATGCAAAGGAAACTAAATCCATACAACTTTGACCAACCAATTCTAAATACTTCTTTATGGCTGCGTTCATCGTATAACATTGGCATCGATTCTGGCATGATTCTCTAAACCTAAACAATTTGACAACAGTGGTGTCGATTAAGGCAGGATTCCTTAAACTAAAATTAAACATTTAAAATAAAATAAAAAACTTAACCAAGAAAAAACCGCTGTTATGTGTTATCGTGCCTACATAGAATTTATCCTTCGGTACGGAATTATTTATAGGGGCAATAGTACTGATAAGAATAGAGCCTTTATTGCACAAAAGAAGTGTGAAAATTATGTGAGAGTCTTGGATTGTTGCCGCTGCCATCGCTGCACATATATGAATTAGCAGTATTTGTCCACGGGCACAAGCAGTTGTTCAAGAGGGTAAATAATTTCCGGGTTAGAAGGAAAAGTTGCTTGTGCCTTTGTGTCGAGATCGATAATAAAATACCATCCGACATGAAAATGCCAAATATGTACATGTTTAAAAATAAACTATAAAAATGGCTAAATGAAAACAATTTTTATGATAAAAAGTTTTTTCAATTATAAAAAACAATGACACGTTTTAACTTATCCTTTATTAATTATGTTTATTTATTTTATTGACATAATATTAGGTAACTCTGACATTCATAATTCTACAGAAATATGTTAAGATTAATTAATCTCTTTTTTTTAATTTGTTCCATATTATGTATTTGCATGCTATTTTTAAAATGGCAAAACACGTGCTTAATCCACTTTATGTAATACCTATATACCGTGTTTTTACTCAGAGCAGTTTTTAGCAAATAAAGATTATGATTATGACAACGGTGTATCCTTCTCATTATCTATACCGAATGAAGAGGAGCGACTGATGTTAAATTTAGTTTAGATGTTAAGGTTAGAGAATCATGCCAGATTTGACACCAGTGTCCTTGTCATTCTATAAACAGAATAAAAGTGAAAGACTGATGCTAAATTTAGTTTTAATTAAAGAGAATCTTGCCAGAATTGACACTATCATCTAAATAAAATGACATGGTCAGAAACTCAGATCCACAGAATAATAATCACAAGATCTTTACACATGATTCCATTTAGGGCTGCCATCCGTCCGGGTTTCCCCGGATTTGTCCTAGTTTACGGGGCGTCCGGGGAGCGTCCGGGCGGGGTTTCATTTGTAGTCCGGATTAAAAAAAATCCTGTTTTGGGTCGCCAATTAATCCGTCAATTTAAATGTCTTTGAAAATAAATAAATCTTTTCTCTCTCAAAGATCAGCTCCGTCGCTCACGCTGTACGCAATAACAGCATTCGTTGCTATGTGGATATCAGCACTGACACTTTTTACACTGGTCAGTCAAACATCCCTCGGATGGAAGAAGAAGGGTAATAAGTAGATCTAGTAAGTACCTCAAGCCTAAATACCGGGTGTTACTTTACAAAGCACTGGTCCTCTGGGCTGGAGCACCCCAATACCAGCTCCTTCCTCTTGACCGGATACAAAAGCGGGCAGTTTGACCAGGGCCGGGTTATGCCTGTCGGGGCCCCTAGGCAATGCTCATCCAGGGCCCCCTACCCTCTTCTAATTTTTACGTTAACACAACAAAATTCAAAATTACACCGTTTTTTACTAACCTGGGTATATCATCATATTATTCAATAAAAATGTTGAATCAAATGAACAGAATGTTTATTTATGCATTTTTAAAAAACATACATAGCTTAAATATTAACTCTTCTAACTTTTTTTGATACAAAATCGTTCAAGATATCCTGAAAGGTAATCTTCTCCAACACGTCATTTTCAATTGCCATTATAGCCAATGAATTTAAACGGTTTTGAGACATCGTTGAACGAAGACAGTTTTTAATTAATTTCAATTTGGAAAAGTTTCGTTCACCAGTGGCATTTGTAATCATTAGACTTCTATATATTTGCAAAGCTGTCATTACATTCGGGAATGTTGACTGTGCCATGTTACCAATAATCAGTTTGTAAGACTCCTCGGCTGGCATATTTTTTTGTCCGGCGTCATCTAATTGTAAGATGAAGTATTTATACTGCACCATTTCGTCTATAAACTCAGCCTCAATGTCCTCGAAATAATGATCCTTAAATTTTGTACAAGCCTGTCTAATTTCAGCGTCCGATTTTGTCGAGAAATCTGTTAGAAACCCAAACAGATCATTTATTTCCCGGTAAGCTTCTAGGCGCCGCGACAGTTCTGTAAATAACATGTCTTGTACTGGCAAATATGTATCAACTTTTAACTTCTCTTTTCCTCTGAGCACAACTTCTTCTGCTGATCCGTCATCGTGATGCCTTTTCCTTTTTCGCTCACGCTGATTCTCATCACTGTATTGAGTATCAGTTTTCTCATTTGCCTTAGTCTCGTAGTCGTCAAATAAATCTCTCTGTGAAATTAAAAAATCTAAAAGCGATTTTAAAAGATCGACTGCTGTTCGTAGTTCAATTGTTTTCTTTTGTAAAGATATGCTGACACCATTGATCCGATCTAGTATGGCAGCCCAGAATACGGCCATTACAGCATTTTCTTTTTTTCTTAAGTCATTCAATAGACATTTAGCTTCGTGAATCGCTTGTGATGTCTGAGTCTCATCGCTAGCAATAGACTGCAAAGCTTTCTGAAAACTGTTGTAACCAGTTGCCAAAGCCTTAGTAGCATCGGCCCTTGCACACCATCTTGTATCGGATACACTTTTCAGAACCAATGACGAATTATGCTTACGTTCATCACGTTTTTCAAGATTTTCGAGCATAATTGCCCAGCGATGAGTTGATGCCGAAAAAAAGTTGTATATTGCCTGTACAAATCCGAAGAATGAGATTGCTCCAACGCAGCTTTCCGCTGCACGTACTCCAACCAAATTCAGTGAGTGCGCTGCACAGGGAACGTAGTGTGCGAGGTGATTTATTTTCTTTATATGCGCCTGGAGACCATTGTAACGACCAGACATATTCGACGCATTATCATAAGACTGACCTCTCAAATTTCTTACATCAATATTATATTGGCTTAAAAAATTTAATATTTCGGTGGCTAGTTCTTCCCCTTTGTGGTTCTGTATGAGAAGAAATTTAAGAAAACGTTCAGCCACTTCTCCATTCGACGTAACATATCTCAGCACTACAGTCAACTGATCAGTGTGTGATATATCAGGTGTCGAATCGACACTTATTGAGAAGTATTTGGCTTCAATAATTTCATTAACAATATATTTTAAAACCTTATTTCCCAATATTTCAATAAGTTCCTCACAAATCGTTGCAGATAAATACGATTGTTTTCCTTTGCCTTCATTACCATATTTTGCTAAATGCGAACTAAGAAAAGGATCGTACTCTGCGATTAACTCTAAAATTCCCAAATAATTGCCATTATGTTGAGAACCGAGAATTTCATTGTCACCACGAAATGCTAATCCACGGGATGATAAAAATTTTATCACAGAGACTATTCTTTCTAAAACTTTTTTTCCAATATTCTTTTTCTTTATTAAATGTAATCTCTAAAGAAGTGTCGATTCGTCCGTGAATGCGTCGTCTACTTATGAGTGTCTGTACACATACTCGGTGAGTTGCATTATTCTCATGCGATTGGATTCGGTGCAACGCATTTTTCCAATCAGAAAATCCAGTTTGAAATTGTGATCGGTTTTGTGCTTCACCAAAAAGGATACATGGAAAACAGTATACTTTTCCAGTAGACGGAGAATACATGAGCCACTCCCGTTTGATTTTACCACCACTGATGTGTTTCCGAAAAAACATAGACTGAGAAAAAAATCTTTTACTGTCGTCGTACTGTCGGGCCGAAGCAGAAAAATTACAATCAAAGTGTTGACATTCGTTAGGGTCTCTAGTACACCAAAAATCTTGCATTTCGTTGGTAATATTTTGCCATAAGCCAATGTCATTCTGGTATTCCACCCCTAGATGAACTACGTTTTGATGTATGACCCCTGTCTCGGCCTCACCTTCCTCTGCACTGACTAACGTAGGTGTTTCTTGATCCTGGCCAATCTGTTCAAAAGGCTCGCAAGGAACCTCTACTGGGTCTACTTCCATCTTGTGGCTGGTAGAAGACGTACTTGGAGTGTCATGAGGTTGATGTTCCTTTAATTCGCGACTAAATCCGAGTTCGAAAAGGTTTTGTGTCTTCTTTAATTGTTCATTAAGTTTATTTTGTTGCTCTTGCCGCTTTTTACGTTTTTCGGAACCACTTTCATGCTTTTTCTTTACGGGTACCTCCGACATTTTGTTCCTGAAAGGAATAATCTTTTGTTTTAAAACAGTAAAGAAAATTTCACCTTAGCAGCTCAAACAATATAATAATAATAATAGTTTCCTGCTTAATATTAATAAACACCCAAAGTAAAAATATTTAATAACATAGAAATTAATTAAAATATCCAATTGAATAATAAAACGACACTTCACATTTGTCAAATCCTGTATCAGGTAATAAAATATGTAAAAAATAATAAAACTTACGTAAAGTAATTTTAACTTCAGTTAATGAAACTTTAGTTTCCACTACACTGTTTTTAACCCGTCGTTTCACCGATTTTCACAAAGCCTGAAGCACTTCTGCAGTCTTTATAAATAAATATCCAACACTTATCCTTAAATTCGTAATTTTTAAAACACAAATTGTAAAACTCTCTTTTTATTCACAGCCGTGAAACTTGCAAACGAATTGCACGAAGTATAAATTGAACGATTTAATTGAAAATGGTTCGAAAATAATGTCTATGACACATCATACAATACGTATTTAACGACTCGGGGAATTCCCCGGTCATGCCAACGAACCAGTACTGCCAACCTTATGAAAGTAGCTTGGCCATAGAATATACATACTTGGTAGGTACCAGTATAGTAAGTGTGCATTCACAACAAAGAGTTTTGAGCGTTTTTAATTAAATTACCGCGATAAAATTGCTTGCAATTATATTACTGCGTTATAAACTTTTAAACTATCATAATAATCATAATAATAATATCTAATAAGGAATGCGTTCCGAAATGTACTAAAATAGCGTCGATGTAATGTACAGAGCAAATTTTCAAATTAATTTTTTACTGTTTAAGAAACATTGCCTATTCTTTTCCCTGTAGCACAGGGGCCCCTGAACGTGGCAGGGCCCCTAGGCAGTTGCCTATAATGCCTAATGGATAAAACGGCACTGAGTTTGACTTATCGATGATCCTGAGCTCACTGACGCGTTGCAATCCCTTAGCATGCGCAGACGGTACAACATGCACAAGATCGCAACTCCTTATACGTGTTGTACCGTCTTTACAACGGAGAGTGTTCCGAGGAATCATTCAACCGGATGCCAGTGGCCAAATTTCTCCACAGCACCACATACCGCAGAGAAGTTTAATGCCCACCATCTGGACGCCTGGCGTTCGAGAACCATGTGTTCCTTTCTTTTGCGTACCAGCAAGATCTGGAACGAACTTTCCTCAGTTTTTTTTTCTTACAGGTATGATATGGTTATTTTAAAGAGACGGATGAACCTTTTCGTTCAGAGCCGGCAACGCATGAGAGGCCCTTGGTGCTGCAAGTGTCCATGGACAGCAGTGACCACTTAGTATGAGGTAAACTCCTACTAGCTCTTTTGCCTACATCAACATAAAAAGTTGATTTGTGACATTTTTAACTGTTTTTTTATTGGTCTGTCCGGGTTCTGGGCTGCAAAATCCGGGGTTATCACGCGTCTTGTCCTGGTTGCCACATTTTAGAGATGGCAGCCCTAATTCCATTACACTTAAACTAGCCTAACCTATTAATATCAGTTAATTTTGTTACTGGGCTAGGCAAGTAGAAAGTTTAATATCATTGGGCGATTTTTTTCCCTAGCTGTTTCATAGAATAGCTAAATCTCCTTCGGACCGATAGTTGAATGGCGTCGTTTAGTAAAAAGATAGGCTGTTAATTAAAACAGCTTATTAAAAACATGCGGCATAACTATAGCTTTGTAGACCTAATTATAGTTTTGTAGAATTAATATTCTCCTAGCTACGCCAATGATAAGCTGACGGACAGGCAGAAAAAGCGATCCTTTAATTTAAGGTTTCCTTGTTAACTCCGAAACCTTAAAAAAATACAAAATGAATGAGTATCAAAATTGATTAATGTAGTTTGCCGATGACTGAAATAATATACTAATTATGTTACGTCAGAACTTCATTTATTTAATTATTTTTACTTATATTTAATTCTATTATTACAATGTTTAAATTATATTATTACAATTTACAAGAAAATTAAATAAATTCTGATTATTTACAATTAATAAATAAAAAATAAAAAAAATGTTCATAACTTTTATAAAAAAATATTATTAACTCAGATCAATATACAGATATAAACATGCTCAAAGTGAATTCATTGCAGATAAGGTATATATGCACACTTATCTGAAAATTTTCCCTTCATTTTAAATGCTTTTCTCATTATTATTGAAATAATTACGGACTTCAAAAACTAAACGGTAATGCTTAAACATTGATCGCCGCTGTTTTTAATTGCCCGCACTAGTTACAAGCATACATTAATAGATCAACGCTAATCACTGTATTTGTAAACCGTCCTCTGGCCGTTCTGGGTCATCTCAATCATGAGCTCTGTGAGATCATCACTCAATTTTACGTGCATCATCGGTTGGACGAAATCTGAAATCAATAAAATATTTTTAATTGTGATGGGCCGAATGTTCGGCCTTAAGTAATTTGCCGAATCATAATGAAAAATGATAGTGCCAGCACTTCACATGGCTATTCATATTTGGTATTTATAAACTCGCTAATAGGACAACTTGCTGTCAAAATGATAAACAGCAAATACGAATAATCATGTGAAATGCTAGTATAAGGTTTGTTGTAGTGCAATACAAACTTTATGGCGATTGTAAAATTCACAACGGACGCCATTATTCGCAGGTTTCATTCAGTGAAACCCCGCGTGCATTTAAACTTATTTCGAAAAGTAATTATATTCTACTTAGTTTCGGACTAAAAAGATGTACCTAAATTAGTATTACACGTGGAATTTGTTTTTTAATGTTAATCACCTTATACTCCCATTTTGCCTTACCTTCAATGTTGCCAGACGACATGGGGACCTCATACTTAACGTCCACCTGGTCGCCGAGCTGATTGACGTCTGCGAACGCAACTTCCGGCACTGCTGGGCCTGCACTCGAGTCTGTTGACGCTATTTTGTCTGTGACAGGCAGCGGATCTGCTTTTTGTTTTTTGATTGGATGAGTTGCTGTAACAATAATAATAATACCTAGATTTTATTTCATTATTTGATTTCTTTAATATAGTAAATTTTTACACAACTCAAATAATATCAGCCTTTTAAAAAACACAGGATTTTATTTTTTTCTACTTGACCAAAATCGGGTATTACACGAAGTCCCACTAAATTGTTCACACGGTTTGGAACCGTTGATCGATATGTAGCTCCTCCTAATGATAATATAGGTTTTGCAAATACATACCTGTTTTTTTGTTTGGTTATATATGATCCTAAGTTTTCTAGTAAAACAAAAATTTCTGTAGACTAGTTGAAGTTACTAATGTAGTTAATAAACATTCACATCTCTTACCAGTTCCTCCTGCACTCCTCTTCAACAAAGTTTTTTCTCTAGCCTTCTTCGTTTTGCTAAAGTCTTTGATTTTCAGCACCCTAGCCACCTCTTTCCGTAAGGTTTCTTTCACATCTTCAGACAAGTCCACGCCACTGTCATACTGCTTAGAGTATTTGGTGATGGGTTCGTCATCACTACTGTCGCACGAGGAGTAATCGGTGGTTTCTCTGCAATCTGGTCGAATGTGCTCCGCTTTAAAGAAATCTTTCCACTTCTTTGTTAGGTCATCGACGATTTTCTAAGGAAGAAGTAAAGTAAGCATAAGAAATCTGAATATTCTTATCGATTTTTTTAGTTCAAGGTTAAATTAGTGAGCATTTAAGAGTGGTAAGTGCCGAATAAAGCGCATATAAGATCGTTGATTTCGTATGTGCCTGCATTGGGTATAAACTTTTTATTTCTAAAAATGTCTTGGTCCTTGTAAGATTGAATGACGGTGTCGCGCTCTTCGATTGACTTCTCCTATGCACGGCTTTAACACTCACAAATTTGGTAGGCCTCGGTATCCTCAGCATGTAGTGTTGAGCGTGAGTTTCAGACATCTCACATTTCGGACACAGGTCGTAGTCTACGCACGTGACGCACTTGTATCTGAAGCCGATGATCGTGTTACTGCAGTTGTTGCAAATTATGTCCTGGTGCTCCACCGGCGCGTCATCAGTGTCATCTAGAACCAACATGTTTGTGATTATGTACGAGGGTACAACAGGCCCATGAAAATTTTTTGCTTGAGTAGCATCATAAGCAAAAAGAAGTAAGTTTTGCTTTGCTCACGGTTCCCGGATTGACCCACGCTCTATTCAACAAACCCATACAAAGAACCGACAGGCCCCATACCACGCAAACTCGAAGGGGGCAAGACACCCCGAAGAAAAATTCACAAAAGCTCAAATATAACTACTGTCGAGAGATTGGACATTGTGTGACGTTAGTTTCTATGCCAAACGCGTTATTGGAAAACGACAGAAGTCTCGTAATGTTTGATCGCGAACCCAAGACAACGTTCAAGGTCAGGTACTGGTATCTCCAAACACCTGCAAGTCCGTACAGTCTTTTTTGAATAGACTGCGCTCTTGAACTATAGATCGCTCCGCTTTGTCTATAATAATTCTGCGCGCACATTCATCCACCTGTCGGGCGCAATAATAACAATCCGATGCTCTCACAGCTTTACAATTCATACCATTTATTAAAAACGGTACGGAGACATCGGAGATTTTTTTACTTATTTAAGTAATGTTGTTTAGCATAAGAGGATAAAATTAAATACAGAAACATTAAATTCATATTTTTATTAAGCAGTTATGACAGATTTCTGTTAGCGATAAATGTAATGCACGTACTGCTATTACTTTTTCTCATTTTGTTTCAATCTATGATTTGTTGTACCTTAGTGCCTTTTAATTTAAAGGTAAATGCAAATCTACTTATGTATTAATATTATAAATAGTAAAGTTTGTGTGGGTCATCTCTGGATTTACTAAACGGATTTTGAAAAATCCTTTTCAATGTATTGCACGAAAAGTGTTCTTCTATACACATTATGAGGAAAGTGACTCTATTCTGTCCAAGTGCGTTTTGTTTTTTTAATTTTTATACCTTGCGCCGCCTCGCTGCGCTACGGAGCACTGTGTTCATTTGTTTTTTTGTATAAACAGAGCTCTATGTGCAGGTCAGTTCGAAATTTAAATAAAACCTTTGATAAGTTACCTTCTTGGTTCCCATGTTTAGGAGTAAAAGATAGTTCCATTTTTTGAATACACAACACACAAAAAAACGCATATTTCTGTTCAGTAGGTCTATTCGCTAAATGCTTTTGACAGATGGAAGTAATAATGACCGAGCCATTAAGTGATCCACTACTGCTTTATTATCTAAGATATTTGTTCTGCAAAAAAGGCATCTGATATGAAATTTTCTCTTTAGTTACACACTATAAAGCTCAAAAAAGTTATCGAATAAGCCGGCAGGACATATTTTAGCTGATAAGGCCATGCCACGGTAATTAGACCGCACATCCATTTACTATTTATTAATTTGAGACATACAGTTAACACATAAAATCAGTCTTCTTTATTTACACTATCCAAATCTTATGTTTTATCAGTTTTTGCTTCACAAAGTTAAGCGATATTTTCCGTTTTCTTGGAGTAAATACTTACCCGCTGAAAGGAGAAGCGTTGTATGCACTGATTTTCTTTCACAAGTTTGCTTTTGATCTCTCAAAATATCTCTTTTCCTTAAAGGTATTTTTAAATTTGAAGATATCTGAGCAATAGGTGTAAATTGAATGTTCTGTCTCTCTTGTACATATATTATTTTCTCACACTGGCTTGAACTCGAAGACGTTCCAGGATTGCTCGGCAAGTTAAGTGTGGGAAGAGCAGTATCAAATAAATATTTTACATTTTTGTTTTTAGAATATTTAAAACAGGATGGCTCGAAGTGAACCTCACAGACTCTGTACTGTTGTCTTGTTTTTTCGTCAGCAAGTTTTGAAAGGAGGTCTTCTCGCCCAACAGCTTTTAACCACTCCTGTCGTCTGAAATAATAAAGAAACCATGTAGCTATGTCGACATTTTTATTTATAGACATACATAATTATGCAATAGGTACGTAACGTACGTAGCCACTACATACACACAGAGGTATTTCAAATCATATACATTTATCATCGACATTTATTGAAAACGCTTAGCTCATGAAAACAGACTCATTAAGTCATCCTCCAAATTGAAAACACAACAAGAAAGCAAGAATATAAATCTTAAATTTTATATGAAGCAACCCCTGTAGATATCACGTATTATGAAATCCCAAGTATTTACCTGATTTTGCAACCAGGGTCATTGTCAAGTGGAATCAAACTAACCCAAACACGATGGAATTGGGATCTGACAAAATTCGTGAGACACCTGGTGTTCAATTTTGGAACTAATACCGGGGTGCATCGCTCATCAAAACACATAAGTTATCATTAGTGTCATTAGTACTTTTGAGAAATTAAACAAAAAATGACGGAAGAATTAGGAATATTTAACCCTCGCAAGATTTCTAAAAAAAGAATAAAGTGTTGTGTGTATGGATGTGGAAGCAGTTTTCAAAAAAACCGTGAATTAACGTTTCATAAGTTTCCTAAAAAAAATGCGCGTTGTGTTTACATCAAAAATTATTTTGGTCAAATGGAAAAAGTGGACCAATTCACAGCATGGAAGAACGCTTTGAAGATTGACTGTAAAATAAATCCTCACATGAAAGTGTGTTCATTGCATTTTCTGAAAGACGACTATATATTACCAGGTGAGTCAAATTCGTTTTTTGAGGTTAAGCATGTGTGAAGTAGCATTTTACAAGATCTCATTATTATTCCACTAAGAAAAGAATGGGACGGCAACAACATTAAAATGAAAGAGTTTCCTTGGTTTAGTTATATATTAGTTTAGTTTGGTCTTTGACGATACCACAATTCAATAAATGTTTCGCAGCTACCAGTCGTTCACCCTCTCGAAAATTGCGATTACTGGGCGTTGAACCGGACCATTCACAAATATCATTAATTGTTAAGACTATCATTATCTACCACTAATATTGATATTTAACTATTTTACGGTATTTCATCACGGTTTGACTAGGCAAATGCACCCCCGTCGGCGCCATATTGAATAGGCCACGCCTCCATGTCAGATCCCAATAGTGTTATCTTTAGAGAGTTCCTAAAGGCCATCTTCTGACTCCACTATCAGTCCTCAGTTATCATCCCTAGCCCCAATGCCATTACGACCTAAACGAGCACAAACTCGATGAAATTGCGTCGTTATTTCACAGGGTTACTATGACCGCCTTCCGCTTCCATCATCAGATCCTATATGACATGTCATTCAAGACTAAAGACCTTATCAAGACAAAGTAAACAAGGCCAAACTTGATGGGTTTCCAACGTTTTATTACAGGGTTCCCATGGCCACCTTTCGGTTCCTTCATCAGATCAACTCCATTTCATAACAATATTATATTGTAATCTGATTAACATTTACATGCATGCATTGATTTCAGCTCAATCAGAAACCGGGAAAAGACTAATCAGACCATAGAACCAGAGTACTTGTCAAAACAAATCAAATCCAAACACGATAGAATTGCATCGTTATGTTACAGTCCACTTTCTAATTCCACCATCAGACTCTTGATGTCATCATGAATAAGAGTCCTGGATAAGACAAATAAAACGAGTTCAAAATAGATGAGACTGCGTCGTTGCATTTCAGAGTTCCCATCGCCACCTTTCGGCATCATCATCAGATCTTGATCTTGGATATCAGCTAGTACCATCAGTGATGTCGATTCTGGCAGGATTCTCTGAACTTAAAACTAAATTTTAACATCAGTCTGTCCTTTTCATTCTGTATAGAGAATGACAAGGATACACTGTTATCAAATTTATGTTTAGCTATAGAGAATCATGTCAGAATCGACACCATTCTTGTTCATGCAACATTCTAAAAAGCTCAAATTCGATACAATTGCGTCGTTCTATTACAAAACTCCAATATCCATCACCCTGCTCCATAATCTGATCAGCTCCGTGCTATAATATTGCTGCGTTATCATCCGATTCACACATACTAACATGCGTGTGTGAATTTCAGTTGAATCGGAAACCGAGAAGTGGGTCACATTTAATTTGCAAGATTTATCGGTAGGTAATCACAAATACAAATGCCGAAATTAAAAAAGTCAAAATTAAATAAAATCTTCTATAAACATACTATCCAATTGATAACCTGCACTTCCTCCTTTATTCGACTCGGCCAAAAAAATGCCTGTAATATTTTGCTCTTGAACGCACCGTCACGAGATAGTGCGATGGTGAATTCCTACTAATCTGTGCAACTTATTTACAAAAACCAAAATCATTCATAATCTTGTTCATTAACTTGACAAAAACTGAAGCTTTCGTTAATGATGTCCTTTGAAGTATATTTCTGTATAAAAAGCATCTATTTAGGCAGTACCAAAATAATAAATCATACTTACATATTTACTACTTACCTAGTGGAGTCTTTGGGATAGTTGAAAAATGAAATGTTCTTCTTCGTTCTATTATTGTTCAAACACACAGTGCAGTAAACCATGTTTACACTTTTTTCTTTATAAAACACTATTATTGTTAAAGAACGTGAAACTAAAATACGACGCGCAGGATGCACTCCGCGAGCCCTGAATTTGAGCACTGCCGATCGAGATCCGGTTTCTCTGCGTACGTGACAGTGCTCACCCACACACGCACGCGCGTCTTTTTTGTAGAGTGTAACGATCGTACCCCGATTGTATGAAGATTTGTCTCTATTCGTTTCTATATGCTAGGAACATATGTACGGTTTCCTGCCGCATGCCGGTCCTTTCGCTAACTTTTTTGACATTGTCATTTACTAATGAGCAAATTGCTTATTAGCCCGATGATTATCACTTCCCTAAGTCAAAACCCGTTAGCCATCCCGTGAGCCTAGGACAGACGTTCAGACGTTACGATTTTTTTATTTAGGAATTTCCGAACCGAGCGGTAGGTTATTTAAATTCTGAAAAAATAAGAAATGCATTCCGGTCTCAGAATCTGAATTCTTAATCAGGCAAACGTACATCCAAGCCCATCATGGACACCACGGCCAATCCGGCATCGCCGCCACTTGTGTAGGAATTTATAGGAATAATTTATATAATAAATGTGTATAACTATAATGGTGTCGATTTTGGCATGATCTTAAATTTGACAACAGTGTATCCTTGTTATTCTCTATGCAGAATGAAAAGGAGAGAATCGGACTGGTGTTAAATTTAGTTTTAAGTTTAGAGAATCATGCCAGAATCGACACCTATATTTACCTATACATCCTTAAAACATATATATTTTGCACTGTCAGGCAGCCCATACATTTTGCACTGACTACTGACACTTTTCTCCTTTTGGAACGAAGTTCCTTTTTGGACGATATGGACTTGGCGGATGGGGGCTACCGAGAGTAGGCGAAAAAAGGTGTAAGATTTTTTTCTATTACTTTACAACCGTCGGGTGCTAATATGTACTTACGCGTTCCTTTAACGGGCTTTACACTACCCCACTTTAAGGGCCCGATCGAAAGGGTGGGCGTGACCCCTAGCTAGGGTTGTAAAAATTTTACACCGTGCCGCACCGATCGCCCTAGATTGGGTCCCTTACAGGGAATAAGGTAAACTCACATAACACCACCCTTAGTCAGGGTAAGGATTCATGAAGGTGGTTCTCTAGAGCATTCTTGAGTTCATGTCATGTAGTCTTCACCTGCGCATCGTCCGATGACCGTGTTCCTCCGTAACTGTATCGCAGTGTTGCTAGTGTTTACGATTTTTACCCTTGCCCCTCTTTTGGTCACGACCAAGGTTTTAGCCGTGATCCAAGGAGGGTGACTCCCGGTATTTTCTACCACGACACATCGATTTGGTGACGCCCCTTCCGGAAACTTGACTTCTACCAATGTCTCTGACCTCGCAGGTAGGGTAACCGTTCTGACGTTGTAAACTACCGGTGGAGGGTTTCCTTGTAGAAATATTTCTTAATCCGGAAAATTCAATACCTACTCCTCTAGCGATATCCACCACACACTGCTGAGATCGTAAGAATTTCACTCCGAGTATGCAGTCGTCTGTTATGTTAGCGACCAAGACGCTTTGTCTGTACATCTTGTCTCCTAGTTTCAATTGACACGCCGATTTTGTATCACCCCACATAATTGTACGTTTGAGAAGTTCTGACCGCACCATAGTTTTCGATGCCCTAGTGTCAATCGTCAGTTGAGCAGGCTTGCCGTTTATTTCTCCTGAGGTTACGAGACTATTTTCAAAACATGCCTGTGATACTCGTACTCTGGGGGCTAGTCGACGTGCAGTGCGTGCCCCTTCTGCATAGATTCACGAAATCGGTGTAAGGAATCCCGCCAAACTCGCCAAGATATCCCGACTGTTGCTGGCAAACTACTTGATGGTAAATCCAGCCCGCACCCATCAAACAAAAATCAAAGGTTCTCATCAAAAAGGCCTGCCTTAGAATCTGATAGTAAATATTGGCACAACAAGGAAAAGGTTTGCCCATCCCTGCTGAACACAAACAGAACAGCAACAGGTCAAGTAACCCAAGCTGTCTAATTAATCCGAATGATTTATCGAGTTATGGTTTGTGGTAACTTTATTATTAGACAACCTCTGTGGCTGAGTGGTTTGTACGCCAGGTTTCATGGTGTCTCCGACTCGAGAGGTCCCGGATTCAAATCCCGGTGGGGGCAGATGTTTGTGTGATGAATACAAGCATTTGCACTCCAGTCATGGATGTTTAATATTTATTTCTATAAAAATATACTTATATATGTACAGTCTATGTATTCTATCTGTTACCCTAGTATCCCATAACACAAGCCTTACAGTGCTTACTTTGGGGCTAGGCTAATTGGTGTGAGTGTTGGAAATATTTATTTATTCATTAGAGGCTGTCTGCTGTTCATTTAAGGACCAACTGTATGGATTGTAAAACTGGTAACGCTATTCAAGACACCAATGCTCTCTAGACACACAAAGTAATCAATAAATAAAGAAAAAAATATTGTAGCTTCTGTTTTGTTCACATGCCATAAAAAGTTCTTTTTTTAATTTGCAACATAGATCCAATTAATGAAATAACATGGTACCGGACCATTAGCTGTTTATTTGATATTGTAAATAAATAGCTAAAAAAATTACTTTTCGATAAAGTTTATTGCCATTTACGCTATAAATTAAAACCAATCCACAAAGTGTTTGTGGTCATTGGTTGGTTGGTTATTTTTTATGATAGAACACTAGGATTTTAATACAGATGTAGGTACTCACCTGCATTGTTCGACCCTGGTAAGTATAAAGTTGGCACAGCATCAGGACACAAGTTTCTGTTTTTAATGCTGGATGGGGCAAAATGTCTCGAACAGAATCTATGTGCAGATTTTATGTTACACTTTTCAAGAAGATCTACCCTACCTCCTGCCTTTAACCACTGCGTTCGGCTGGAATAAGTAAAACTTTGAAATTTTCATATAGCTATATATTAAATAATTGTTGCTGTGTGAGGTCATTTCGAGATAAACAAATCAGATATTGAAAAACCTTGTACTTATAAAATTGCTTTATAGTTTTTTAGAAGACTAAACTGATAACCTATTAATAACTAATATACAGTCACACTAATAAAATTTACAATATCTCGTATACTAGTCTGAGATTATTTTTAATTTACTGTTGAACATTATAAATATTCTGACCAAAATTGGGTTTAAAGCTAGCAAAATTAATTAGTATTCTGACTGACCGGTGACGTTCCTTCGGTAAACTGTAGTAATTTAAGTGGCTGCTTAGTTTACTATTCCTACCACAATTTTGTACGCAGCAGTAATTCACCATTTTTTGGCTTTTCTTTTTTAACTGCTATTTATTGTATTACTTGCGGTTTTGCGAAGTTTTGTTTGTAAACAATGTTTTTTGTCTTTTTGTCCCTATTGGGAAGGGCAAAGGATTCGAGGTCCATGCAGCCCTGTCTGTAAACCTATCTTACTTAGTTTTTTTTTGGATCTTCTTTACGTCTTGGGAAAGGCATAGCCATTTGGCCATCATTTTTTAACTTTGTGCTTGTGCGTGGTTATAATCCTAATTTATATAATAGGTTTATTTGTCTATCGTGTTGTGTCGTTTGCCTGGTAATTCATTACGACATAAATCATTGAAGATTTCGACACTAAATTTAATACCAAACCAAAGTCACCCGAAGACGACGTCACGTTGTCGTCCCGTGTCGCGATTACTAATAACTTTCATTCTTGATTCTTGTATATCAATATATGTATGTATCTGTTGAGAAAGTGGATCGTAGAAAGAAAAGACCATCAGCTCGTATTATCATATTTATCTCTCATATTTAGTTTATGTAGTAGCAATCACATTTTATAGGTATACACCGTTGACGTATTATGCAAAAGTTCTAGTATGAAGTAAAGGTGACAGACAGGCTCAGCTTTCCATTAGCTGTGGTTGAGTTGCGAGCTGAAATTTTTGTCACGCAAAGTATTAATTATTAGAAACACGTACACGAATTCTTTTTAGGCGGAAACGAATAGAACTCGAGCAGGTTATGAGTCAATTTTGACAGCAATTTTGATCAGTGCTGCCATTTTTCATGCAAAAATAACATGTTTCTCGTTGTCTATGGTAAAACTAAGTTTATTATGTTGGTACTATTGTCAAAATGTGACAATTTACCGCCATTTTGCTTTTTTGTGTTTGTTTTGAGATCCGTCAGGCAGTCTGTGTTCATCGGTAAAAAATATATTTGCTATTATTACTTGATAAATAAAAAATAGTATGGGTTCAACACTTAGAAAAAAAGGTAAATGTGGCTTTACAACAATCTTTAATTCAGAACCGACTTGGTCAACCCCAACACGCCGGCGCCGTGGTCTTGGTCTTCGTACACCTAGAGTGTTTTTTAGAGCCCGAAGGCGCGGAGGGAGAGCAGCCCCCGCCTGCTGTGATAAAGCCGCAAGAATCGTGCGACCCGTAGCGCCTGAGGCTGGTCGCCGCCGGAGGTGCTATTCCTGCAGCGCCGGAGATAAGGCAGAAGTACTGGTTCTTATTTCCCTAGTCCTTGCATCCTAAAAAATATATAATTTTTTAGGTTAGTTTAATTAAAAATAACATGCATTTCCGCCTAAAATCTTTAGTGGGGGGGGGGGGGGGGAGTCGCGGAAACCTTCCCCTACCCCCCACATCAAAACTACCCCGAAATTCAACCACAGCTAATGGAATTAAGTACTGAAATCAGACGTTCGCCGTCCCGTGTTGCGTAATAATCTTCCGCTCTGATTTTAGAAAGGTATAGTGAAAAATTAAAGTGTGGGACTATGTCATTTTATAGTTTTATTTTGTAAGTCATACTGTAATGTACAAAAAACTAATTTTTTTAATTTATAAAAAGTTTGTATTCTAGTATAAAATTTAAAGTAATCCCCATATTCGGATTCCAGCACAGATTTCAGAGTATCCAATGAGGGCGTTTATGAAAATTTACGTCACCAGTTGTTTTTTTTTTTTTTGTTTCCTCCCAGGCGGGGGAGAGGGTGAGAAATCCTCATGGATACCCTACAGCCGGCTGTAAGGTTATGTCAGACTCTTACTGACTAAAAAACACCCTTTATTCATGCTTATGGCCAGAAGGGCCTTACAAGC